GAGGTTTTAGCGCTTGAATTCTTTGCAAATGGTATGGATACAAAAGTTCCTCGTGTAAAATTTCCCATACAACACTTTTGGGAATATTCGTTTGTACTGAAATTCTTCTGGTGCTACTACCTGGATTAGCTTCAATCTGTTGTAGAACAATTTCCTCTGTCTGCGCCGTTCGGGTAGTACGGTTTCGTCCACAATCTCTCTTATTTGGCGTAAAATTACCAGTTTCTCTTAATCTCTGATGTAAACTGCTGAACAGTTTATCAGAAGGAAGCTGGCGATTTGGAAAAGTTTCTTGGTACAACCTCCGAGCTTCCAAAGCACAACCGTTTGCTTTGCCATACATGAAGTGCATGTCGGCCATTTCAGCAAAAGAGTATTCCGGCATTTTTTGAAAGACGAGAACAATGATTTTTTTCAATTACACTGTTATTAACACAATAATAATCGAATAAACTTTATTTTTAAACCTTATGTCAAATTCGTTTACCGTAACTACAGTAATTTGACCTTTTTCCATTTTCAACTTAGCACCGACATAAGCCTACTTTGATGTAGAAATTTTTATTATTGGGCGACCATGCATGCACTATTTTCTTTGGAGAGTATTTTCTCGAAAACGGCTAGCCTGACAGGTTTTCTACAAGAATACCTTTTTTATGTCATTTATACCGCGGAATCAGAATTTCTAAAGAAAACTGCAAAAATATGACGTTTAATAAAAATGTGAACAAATTAAATCGAGGCCTCCCCTGTCGGTACGCCCCTGATTAAAATAATAATTTAGTAAAAACACTGAAAAGTACCTACTATTAAAGGCAATTCATATGCCAAAATTCAGATGGCTATCTGAAACGGTTCCAGAGATATAAAATAAAACCTATATCCCGGTGCAATCTTTGAATCGCCATAGCAACCTTATGACGCATTTGCGGACCTATGTTCATATGAACTTTTCTTCATAGTTTAACATGTAGAATCACCCCTAGAATTATTCGAACGGTAATTCCGGACACCCTGTATATGCTTACGATGCGTTTCAGGTCATTTCCCTAACTGCTTTACATTTATCTGAACATTGAATTTTTTAACTATTTTTTTCTGTACTTCTCTGCCTTTAAACAAGGTAATAATAATTTTGAATTCGATATACCTACCCATATCATTTTTAAAATAATTTAATTATTTTGAACGATAGTAATGAAATAAATCACAATGCGCAGAAATCACAATGCTTTATTTCTATTTTTAATATTGGTATTAATAGACAATCCATTCTCTCTGATTTAGAAAGAAACACGTGCCCCTTTTACTGTTTGTAATGTACCTGTATATTGGTTCAAAATGTTTCGCGCGTTTTAAAAACATAGCCTGCGCTCTAGTATAGTGGGTAAATAAATTTACTCTCCAAACATCAAGCACCAACCGCCACTTATATATTTTCTGTTGCCGCTGTTCCTTCAGTGTGTCTGACAAGTGAATGAATATCATTGCATCAGCCAGTGATCAGCAGCGATGAATGTGTCGGAAGATACAGTTGAATTACAAAATGAAGTTCTAGAAAATGAAATAAAGGCTCTGTGGGTATTTGCCTACGGATCTTTATGTTGGAAACCTGGATTTAAATTTCATAAAGCCGTAACTGGACATGTTAAGGGGTATCAGAGAAGATTTTGGCAAGGGAATACCACACACAGGGGAACAGAAGAAAAGGTAAGTTTTTAGTTTGTTTTTATTATAATTTTATTTGCTGGATTCTAAGATTTTTTTAAATGTGAGTTATAATTATTAAAAAATGTTGAATAGCTGTAACTTTTATGTAGTTACACATCTCGTAATAAACAATTCCTAATGAACAGAACGTTTATAATATAATACTGAATTTGTACAGAAAAATCAGTTAATTATCTCTGGTGGTCTGGGAATTTCGAGTACACTGTCTTGTGTAATTACCCTACATTGTTACCTTATTTACCAGCTAAATTTCTCCGAACAAATTGGACTTAATGTGCTAATTTCAACGTCTTATAATAATTTAATGCGCTTTTAATGTATTCATTATTATTTTATTTAAAAATTAACGGCATAATCCAAATACAGTCCAGTGTATTTAGAAACATTTTTAAATGTAAACATACCGACCCCTACTCTGTAAGTGTCTACAGTAATTAAATAAGTACAATAAGGAACTTTAAAGTACAAAACACCTGGTAAAAAGTGTAAATGTACATGGTTTTTCACTTTAGGCCATTACTGGTTTAAAATTTTTATTTTAGAATGTCTAGTTCCACAAAATATTGAATTATTTTATCTTCAACGCATAATTAATACATTCCTTTTTTTTATCAAATTACATAGACTGACCTAGATCATAGATAGTCTGAAATTACATAGTTTAATCTCTGTTTAAAAAAATATTTTATGAAGTCACAGTATACCTACCTAATAAAGGTTAGTAGTAAGTATTGATATCATTTTAATAAAAACTCCGAACACACAAAAGGGAATTACACATGACAACATACCAGTTTAAATACAGGTTATTTTTAGTATTTCAGATTTCTCACTTCCGGAAAAACGAGGTTGCTTAGTTCAAATAATATTCAAAATGGACATTTCTAAGTAATGCATGCTTGGTAATGCGAGGATTAAGTGTATCTATTTGTATTATGTTGGTCAAGGTCAGATATAAAATTGTCAAAATTTTAATGCATATATTTTATATTTCATTTAAATATCTTACAATGGAGAAAACTGTTTCTTTGTTTGATAATCTTTATTTAAGTGTCGTTACCATTAAATGATGCTTTATAAAGTTTCTTCAAATAGATAATTGAGGTTTAAAGTACAATTTATTAAGAGGGGTTAGTAAGAATAGACCACTTTGCCAACATCCATTGTCAGTTTATTTAGCTTAATATTTCTGTAATTTGTTGAATAAATTTATTATTTTAAAAACTTATTAGAGATTAATTTTTGTAATCGTCAATTTGTCATGTTTTCTTAAGAACAGTTTTTATATTTATGTTGAAACACGTTATCAAAAACAATAAATAATAATGTATTGATATAAATGATAAAATATAGTAAATAAAAATTTTGCCACTTCCTCTCATTTATTTCCTACAGATGTCTCGGAGCGATAAAAAAGATAAAAGTATAATTAGACCGCTGCGCGCTGGAGTTATTCGTCCTTTAGATTTCTTATCTTTTAAAGGCAATGAGCTGAATATATGGATATATCTATAGCTATGTCTGAATACAGATTGATATCTACCTTATTGGATTGTTAAAGATTTAGTTTTAAAGTGAAAATAATATTTATTTGAAGTTTCATTAATTTTGCACACTTTGCGTCTCGAAAACAAGCGTTTGCAGAAACTCATGTTTACAGGAACACATGTTTACATGAACTTCTTTTGTTAATTTGTGATGTAGAATTTGCCGTTAATGTTTATGCAACGGGATTATAACATGTCTCATATTATATGTCCAAACACATTAAGCGGAAATTACATTTATGGGTACTCGGATTCAAGTAGTCCCACTTGGATCCGAGTACCTACTCGTAAATGTAAATGCCGCTTAATATTTTATTTAAAAAAGAATAGCTTTGGACATGTTTATTGTTTATATGAACTCTTTTGTTCTTTAAAAGGGTAAAATCGAAGGTGAAAGTTTAGGAGTAATGAATGACATATATAATGGTATACATCGTGGGCAACAAACTTCGCCCTTGGGATTAAATGATGCACTTTAGTCGAATATATGGTATTATTGAACTCTGTAATCTTTTTTGTTATACATTTCACAGAAACTTATTTCTTAAAATTAAATTTATTATTATATAATTCCTTCAGTTTGGCATGTTTAAACTGAGACATCCTGTATAGATTTATTTTTGTAAATTTACGCCCAATGCCTTAAAATTATGTCATTACAATGTTTTTGCTTTATTAGATTTCGACAAAATAAGTAAACTATATTTTATACTAAGCTATTCGCATATTCGAAGGAGCGAATTTATAAATGAAGATAAAAAAAATCATATGAACGCACTTGATGTTTAAGGGGTTACGACCTTCTAAGATAGTTTTTTGCTTTGCATATTTAAAGCTAAGTATGACAATGACCCATTTGCGGAAATAGTCTATATACAATGTGTATGAAAACTACAAAAGGTTATTAAAATTTATAAACAAATAAACAAATTAGACTACTCTAAAAAATGCGTATATAATGCACTATAAATAAGACAAAATTTGAAAATTTTTAACAATTGTAACCATTCTTATCTGTCAAATAATTAGCCGAATTTGAATTGAAAACATATAATACTGTGACAAACCACTGAGTTTTTTTCTAGGGAGCGGTAAATGTCATCGACTTTCTTAATGATCTTCAACATTATTTTTAATTTCTCGGAAAATGGAAATGAAAAAAATCGTTGCCTATCAATTATCTGGCTAATAAACTCTCTGTGTCTTTAGAATCGCGATTTTTTCTCAGATGTGGTTTGTTAAAGTCTTTCCGAAGTCAGTTGACCATGTATAAAAACGCCTAGCAATAAAATTTAATGAGTTTCATAAGCGTCCCTAAAAAAGTTTTCTGCCAAAGGTAAAAAATTATAATAATTTGTATATAATTTGTAGAAATTTTTTATTATATGTTCATTTGACCAACAACATATTTTAATTATTTATGTCCTCAAACAATTTTATTATATTGATGGTAAATTTCGTTTTGTTCCGTTTCAAAAGGCCTCCAACATGCCATGTTGTAATTATATTAGTAAACAAAATATCACTCTTATTTCTCCCTTCCTAATGATTAATAGATAGAAGGTGCCTATAATAAATTTTAATTACCTGAATCACACCAAATTCCGCATTGTTGCACTGCACTGCTAGGCAATTGGTCAACCACTTGTCAACAGCTGAGATTTATTTCCCAGTCGCCCAGTTCGGCTGTCTGTGTAGTGTGTACGCCATTTGCCCTCGCGCATTTTTCCGTTGGGCGTATACATTTCTACCACTTCCACGTTTAGTTCGACCAGACCTGTAATAGGTATGGCTAAATAAATATGGGAACAAGTTTTTCAAATATTTCAATGCTGAGTTACTATGTCAGCGACCGAACCTGGTACGTACTGCCAACCTCTTCTTTAATTGAGATCGGAAAGACTATACCATTAATAAATGTACCAAATTTGAAAAAATCGTTAAATCGACAAAAACAGTTATGGCAAAATATTAAATTAAAAAAGCAACTTTGAAGATACGTATCTTGCTTAATATTAAATTAAAAAAAATGTTATAGAAAGTTATAACATTATTTTCGTGAGTAGAATAAAATCGAAAACTTGTGCTGGGCATCTCCATCTCCATTTGGGAAGACTTCTCCCAATTATGCAGCATAAATTTAGTATTTCCAAAATCTCTATTACCTCTAACCTTTACCTCTTTTTTTGTACGCACCGCTGATGGTGTATAATTTACTTGTGATCACTACACTACTTTAGTTGGAACGGTTTGTCTTTTGAAAGTTTTAACTTAAAAATATTTTACAATTAGAGCACTCACATATCGGCACTGTATACACAATACAGTGTGGATAATATAGGTAGTAAAAATAAAGCGTCTGTATTTGAGTCGTTGTTGCTGAAACTACGGGTTCGAACCCTGCAGCTGGACGATTGTAGCTCAGTTGTACCTATTCATACAGGAAAACTAGATAATCTCTCAGCAGATAAGATAGGATGGAAGAACATTGACTTGGATCAATATGAGACATTGATACCAGTGGATGTTTGACTGTCGTACTAATTAATGAGAGAAGTTGTTAATATTTGAATGCATTCATTGTTCCCACAAGACATTACTATAATTAGAATGACCGTAGAGATATTATTTATTATGATCGAAATATATCATAACATTGTATGTACGATATGTTGGAGTTCTTGCGTGTCACACTGTGACAAACATTTAACAAAATTAAAATATTTAATATTTATGAAACAATGAATTTATTACTTTATTTGTTTTGTAGTTGATTGTTTATATCGTATTTATAAATTGTCTCAACTGCAAAATATACCTATATAAATAAGTATCTTTAATTTAAATTTTATTTTTCAGCCCGGGAGAGTGGCCACATTAGTGGAGGATTACAAGGTAATTATATTAAATATTATCATATACAGACCGCCAAATTAGCAAAGTAGCTTATTGATCCATTGTTTTTGATCGTCCACGTTTCTTTGTTAAAAAAAATGTTACATGGACAGTGCAAGTACGATGAACGTGTTTGGCTCGTATTTTTTATTAGTCTAAATATAGGGTAAAGGATAAAGTTGATGTGTTATCCATTTAACGATTTAGGTTTTCGTCGTATTCCTGATTTCGTTCCAACTCGCATACTTTTGCACACGAAATCGTTTATTTAAAACTTTTTCAGAAACTAACGCTCAAAAATTCCTATCTTAAAATTAAATTGTGTTACGTATAATACCTAGTTTTATTACCTGTTAATAGCGCAATAAACAATGATAAAATTTTCCTAAAATTTATTGTCATTATTCAAATTAAATTATTATTTAATATACAAAATCGTTAATTTATCTGTTGAATAATATGCACCAAACGAGAAAATGATCGGAAGTTTGTCAAAATGCCGTTTTTTAAATCTTCGGTGAACATAGAATTGCCACAAGTTCTTGAGGTGGTCACATCTTTATTTTTTATTTACTAGATAAGGGCTTTTTTCTATCTCGTATTTTTTTTTGTATCTTGTAAGGTTTTGGTGTACTTTATTATATTTGTACGTCGCAGCTAAAATTGTAAAATCCGTCGTTTCATAAAACGCCTAGATGTTTTATAAAATGCTGCCTGATTATCAGATTTTCGTTAGCTTTGCTTTATTTTACAATCTGGCTAGTCATTTTGTCGACAAATTGACGAATAATTCGCGGATCAACAAATTCCACATAGTATTTTTATATCGTATTTATTCGTGCACATTCTAATATAGATAAAAACAGATAACATATGTATGGCATTTCTAAATAAACATACAGTGTGACCCACAATTGTGTCCTGATTATGAAAAACTTTTTTATTTGTAAATTCATGAGTAAACGTCATTATTTATAAAAAAAGTCTTGTTTGTCCTCAAACTTTTAAAAATATTACATTCTTGACTATATACAGGGATCACTAAAAATTGGGGATCAATTAAAATAATTTTCATAAAGGAATATTCGATCAATTCAAGTTTTTGAACTACGCAAAACATTTTTTAGTATTTATTATTGAATACATCACTATTTTTGTAACAATTAAATCAGATTTGTATCGAAAATGGGCTGGTGATTATTAATAAGAGTGCAGGAGTAAGCTAGCACAGTTTCAGCCCACTTGATTCGACATTGCAAAGTACAGATGACAACTTTTCACGGCTATGTCTCTGTTGCCATGGCAATAAAATCACAAAAATGCCACTGATTTGTGTCAGTGCAGATGATCTGATTTTGTTTACGTGCATCGGGCACTTCGCTATAAACCATAAAAATCACTGATTTCTTAAACCTAAGGTTCGGAGGTCGAACAATAATAATAATAACCTCAACTTAGTTAGTGACTGTATCTTTTATTGCTTCTAAATTGTATCAGCTGTCAAAACAACCTGATTTATCAAACCACTTGCTCTGATTCGAGCAACACTAATGAACATACCTAATTAGTAAATCAACTCTGTTATCACTGACATTATAATCAAATTTGGCGTAATATAAGTTAGTGAAATAACGCACACTCGATTTGACAGACTTGTATAGTGTTGTATATACAGTGTGTTAGCTGACCCAAAGCAGTAGAGCATCTTCTATTATCTTTTGTTTTTGTAAAGAGTTTGAAATACTATATTTTTGAGCAGTTGACCTAAAAGGTTTAGTATCAGATTTTACCAAATAATGTTAAATGCTTTTATTGTTAACGTTCACATTTGGAAAAGTATCAGAAAGTATTACAAAGGGTGTACAGAAACGATTGGGCCAAAGAGTAATTTCCGTGAATAAAACTAAATGAAATTATTAAATTAAAAAAAAAGTCGACTGTCAAATGTAGTACATATACAATTCAGTAAAATAATTTTTTATGTGAAAATATCAGAACATATTTTCTACATTTGACAGTAAGTTATTTCTTTCCAAAACCCACAATTTCTAAATAACATGCGCAAAGGTTTAGATATATTGACGTAAAACTAAGAAATCAAATGTCGGAATCAAACATATTTATTATCGTATTTATCGACCACTTTTTTATTGATTTATTGTGTCTTTTCAGGGGGTAGTCCATGGAATAGCGTTTGCAATAAGTGGAGAAGAAGCAATATCATATCTATCAAAACGTGAATGCCTACTAGGCGGATATATTTCCCAATTTTCCACATTTTATCCGATTAAAGGTGAACCATTTAAAGTATTAGCTTACGTAGCAACTCCTAAAAATCCCCTCTGGATGGGCGAAGCGGACGACAGAGACATTGCCCATCAAATTATAGACTGTAGTGGCCCAAGCGGTCACAATATAGAATACTTAGTTAGGTTAGCTAATTTCATGAGGGAACATTTCTCTGACGAACATGACCCGCATTTATTCAGTCTTGAGAAAGAAGTTCTTGACTTAGTTAATAAAAATAATATGTGCCTCGAAACTCTTATGGGAAATGGAGAGGGCTGTGTTAGTTTCATTAGAAAGGATTTGTTTGAATCTGAATCACAAGCTGTGCAAGATGAGGACAGGATAGAATCATTCGAGCACTCGACGAGAATGGAAGAAAAGATTCTGCGTTGCTTAAATATATAAGACTGAACTTTTTCACGATTAGAATGTAATATAACTTAATTGTTCCGAAGTTTTTAAACATGTTCCAACATTTAATTTATTTTTATTTTATTTGTTTTTTGAGATTAGTTTAATTCCCACATTAATTTTAACGCCACGGTAGCGCAGTCGGTCGAGAGTGCGGTGGCAAGCATTTCTCGGCCAGGCTTCCTAATCTGGTCCGGGTTCGATCCCCGGTGTCGGCACTGGCAATGTCGATGGATAATGGGTGTTTGTCCGCGTTTTTTCAAGTGTAGCCCCCTTCCGCACAGCCTTTGGCTTTGGATTTGGGGGTTGTCTCATTTCTGTGGTGTGTTTTATGTTTTTTTTTTTATTTAATAATTCTTCCTTTATTTTTTATTGCCTCTTTTCCTACTAAATTCTACTGGAGCGTTATCGAATAATTAAATTAGTTACTTTTGCAACGTTTATTGCTTCCACCAGCACATCACAAAATTGGAAAAATGTATTTATATACATTAAATTAGTTACTTTTGCAACGTTTATTGCTTCCACCAGCACAACACAAAATTAGAAAAATGTAGGTATATACATTCTGCACATTTAGCGAAAGTAGAAATTTTGTAATTAGAAATTCATTTTCTAGCTTTCAGTTCACTCATAGCTTAAAAATACACATACGATAATTGAAATAATATTTCATTTAAATTATGTAATTGATAATTTGTGTACCAAATACATAAAACAAAAAATATGATATTTTTTTGCAATTATTGCAATGGAATATTATTTCCAGGGTCATGGCGTGTGATATTCAGAAAATGTGGGCGTCTTGCTAATAAGTGCAATGTGCATTTTGAGTTTTAAATATTTCATTTCATTATATTAGTAAAGGGTACATTTTCACCTTACGTCACGCTGGGTTTTAAGCTGCAACATTTTGAGTAGACAAGTTTACACAGGAACGTGATATACCACGCCATAACCCTGTTCCTTTCATGGCAGAAAAATAAAAAATATGTGAATATATCTATATGCATGTATGTATACATGCATATATGTGTACATGTGTATGTATGTATATATTTATTTATTTATTTATTATAACTTATCTGTGATTTTGTATTAAGTATAATTATTAAATATATTTTATTTAATCCTGTAGCAGACTTTTTTTTACTATAAAATCAAAGTTAAAATGCAATAGTTTAACTATAGGGTCAGGTATTTCGTTTGCTTTTAGATTTTAAATCAAAGTAATCAAATTTTTCAAATAACATTTTTTCAAAGTCTCCGTAACAGAAAGACACTTGAAATCATTCGGATTTTAGTCTTATACTGATAAACCGCGCACAACGGCGACGGGATGTCTTGTAAAAGTAGTTAATAGTGGTTTTAAACTCTATTTACAGTACCTACTGAATAATTAATTGAGATATACGGGGAGTGTAAACAAAATGCTGCCATAGCATCGCGATTCTATGCCAAACATTTTTATTCTGTGGCTCGTAAATTTCTATCGGGTGTCCCAAAATTCACACAAGATGCAGCTGACCAGGCAGAGCGAAGAGAGTTGAATGGATAATGGAACAAAAACATCTTCAGCGACGAGGCTTATTTTTATCTTGATGGCTTCGTTAATCGACAAAATGATCGCATTTGAGGTTCAGAAAATCAACGAGTGATTGTTGAGAAACAAATGCATCTATAACGTATCAGTGTTTGGTACGGATTTTGGGCTGGAGATACCATCGGACCATTTTTCTTCGAAAATGCGGTTGATCGAGCAATAACAGTTAATGGTGCTCGCTATCATGATAATCGAATTTTTTGTTCCTAAATTGCAAGATATGGATGTAGGCGACATGTGGTTTCAACAAGACGTTGCCATATGCCATACAGCCAAAGAAAATTCAAGTACCGCATGAGTCATTTCCTGGTCATGTAATTTCCCGTTTTGATGAACAGAATTTGGTCGTCCAGATCATGCGATTTAACGCCGTTAGACTTTTTTCTTTGGAGTTTTTTGAAGTCAAAGGTTTATGCCAATAAGCCCACGACCACCCACGCATTGAAGGAGGAAGAAAAAATTACAATGTTTAATTAAAAACCTGTGTTCTCTATCGAAATTATTATTTGCTTGAATTTCGGGACACTATATGTTACCCAAAAGGCTCGGAAAACAGATAACTTCAAGAGATATCGCAGTGAATATGTTGGAGGACTTAAAATAATTAGACTACCTAAAATCCTGCAGATCGAATCGAAAAAGTAAAACATCTTTGATGCAGCTTAGGACTTACAACTAAAGTGGTGACATGTATCAACGGGTAAGGACACACGACCTATTATTTACACATGTACAATTTTCTCTCAAACCGTAATCATCGTCCTTTATTATAATTTTGACTACGTTTACTGTTGTATAGGATAAAAAAAACAAATAATTTGTTTAAAATCAACAATTTTCTTACGTTTAATTCAGCACTCTGCTTCAGTTTTTATTCATGTAGATAATATTCGAATAACATTGTGATTATAATTAGTAAATATACCGTAATTTTTAAAAGTAATTCCTAAGGCTACCTATTTCAAAATTTTGATTTCTAGTACCAACAGTCCTACTTTCTGTACTATGGCTCGATTCTTGAGGGTTCGTTAGAATTCCTTCAAAAATTATCGTTTGTTGGTGGTGAATGTAAAATATAAATGGTTTATCTGCAACAATAGAAGTGGAGCCCATAAGAGGAATTACAATAGCTCCAGTAGCAGCAGCTGCAATCGTCCCCTCTTCATCTACTTCTATTCTTGTTTTGTGTACTAGGCTATTAATGAGAACATTACCATTTTCTACGATTCCTGACAAGTTAGCTTGAGGACCAAATATTTCTCTTATTTTTAACTAGAAATTTAAATATTGATATTTTCTTCAGCAGTGTATTTCATTTTTTCTACTTACCGGTTTCAGGTGTTCAACTAAATCTGATGAGTAATCAAAACGAAACTTTGGAATTTCTAAGGTTATATCTGAAGGCTTCAATTCGTTAAGTATGTCTACGAGTTTAAAATGCTGCAGGTCTCGAATAACACTCCTAACATTTGCTTCTTCAGATGGCAACAAAATTAACATTGAGAAGTCGTGCTAAAATAGTTTAAAGAATACAAAATCAACAAAAACAAAATAGCTTCAATAACTCATAACAAAAAGTTTTGCAAAATGCAAAAACGTATTTTTCCCCGAAGGGAGCGTCTTTTGACATACATTCCTTTAATTTCCTACAAATCGGTGTAATTTTTATCAATTATCTTCAATGATAGAGAACTGAGATTAGGTTTCAGTCTAATAAAAAATGACTTAAAACATAATTGAACTGTTCTTATGTAACGAACCATATTTCTCGAAGTTATTAAAGCTGTTTTGTTTACCCACCCTGTATAATATTTAATCATGGAATATCGAAAAAGAAGAAAATTAATTTTGTTACAAATACATATAATACAACAGAAAAATAATAATAATCATAAAATCTTGGTCTTTATCACTTTTTTCCTATATAGAGAGGTTAAAAAAATAAGGGAGTAGAGTGTTATGTGAATAATTATATTTACCTCATATGGTATCTCGATAGCGCGTGCTCTTAATTGCCTAATATAACTATTGTTGAAATTAGAAGAAACACGCATCATAGGTGTAGAGATGCAACCATTTGCAGTACGAAAACATTTGGTTTGCGTAACTTTCGAATCAAATGCAGTTTTCCATTTTCCTTTGAAAAACAACGCATTTACAATTACTGCAGTTGTATCGGGGCTAATGCTTTCTGAAAATATAACATATGTATCAATACGGATTGACAGTACAAAAAAACTTATATAAACTTTTTTCCGAAAATTTATAATAAAAAAAATATAGCCGTAAGTTTAAAATATAAAGACGTCAAAAGAGTTCGGAAAAATGGGTGTGCATCTTTATTCTTATTCATTTTCAGACAAAAGTTCATATCAAAGGGCGCCTTTATTTTTTATGTACTATACGCCCTAAAAATATTCAGACACTTCAAGACCACCCTGTATATACAGCGTGTTTTAAATTAGATACACATTGTTATCTGAAACAGTGAAGAGACAGAGATGTGGATAAACTGGACCAAAGTTATGTAATTTAGTGTACAATAATTACCCGGAGATAAATCGAGTGTTTTTTTAATTTGTGAGATTTTTCGAAAAAAATACGGGACGAACCTACTGGTGTCAAGAATACGTTGCGTTGGCAACCCTTCAAACGTTTTTCTATTTGTCTTTGAAGAAACATAGTAAAAATACAGAACGGTGTATTGGATACTAATATGGCACGAAATCATATACAAAACGAAAAAATAACAGTTAAATGGGATAATCAAAAACACAGAACGCACTCAACCTACTTTCAAGACTAAACCCGTTAACGGTCACTGTCTCTGCTATCTAGCCGATTATCTATGGCGGTTAACTCAATGTACTCTTTTATAAATCTGCCAATTCATCAGCGGAAACAACCATCGTTTTTTACAAATTTAAATGATTTGATACATTAAATTTCACTTAACTATTAAAAAGACGTGCATGCCTTTTCCGGTTATTACCATTATTTTTATTTTACGATCCATTATTATTATTATTAAAAAAAGGAAATGGTCTTGATTTCACAAAAAACGCATCACTAATATTTATGTATCTCCCGCTGTAGAACATATTCGATATTTATGCAGGGTGATTCACTAATAATTGTACATACGCTAACTGGATAATCTTGGGCTGAAAATATGAAAAATTGACATATACCTAACGCTTAGATAAAATATGGCTCCTTACGGAGTTACAAGGTGTTTTATTTAAAAATTTTTAAATGATTTTTGTCCATTAATAAAACTGTACTCAACATAAAATCTAATTCAACTAATGCAATGCAGTAATAATATGACAAATAAATTTATATTAAAACAAAAATTATTGCATTAGGATCTGATACGCTTCCAAAAATTAAGACCAGGTGACATTTCAAAACCCTTCGAAAGGAAAATTTTAGGGTATTGGGCTGCGAAAATTTATCAGTAATTGAAGTTTAAAACTGGTCTTTATTTTTGACTATGTTTGGATACCATATTTCCTACTTACGTGAGCCAATAATTTCCTTAATATTGTCGTGCGTCGCTTTAGCCACCCAGTTGTTAATGATGTTAACTGCACCTCCCACATTTTTAAAACTGATGGTGTTTACATTACCACCATAAAATTGACCAATCGTGTTTTGGTATTTATCAATTATTTTATATTTATCAGACACGAATATAGCATTTGAATTTTCTAGATATGTACTGTAGGACTTCTCCTAAAAATAACATTAATCCTATAAATTAAAATTCTATATATTTTTTATTTAATACAGATTTAATAAGCATTTTGTTCATTTTCTGAAATGCGGAGTATTCATTAATTAATCGTGTCTATCAACTTATTTTCTTGAAATGAGTGTTAAATAAACAAAACCATAAAGTCACCCCTACTGCTCGTTTCACATTAATTGGACACGATATGAATAAAATACACGAGTACAAAATAAACGTATACATCCTACCAACATACTGTGAATCTTGCTTTTGGACTAATAATTGCCGTCTAAATTCAAAGATTTCCAGTAGATTACACGTCGTATTGAAAAATGTTATAAACAATGACCTATTACTTTCCCAATGTCATTGTCAAAAAAGATCAACTTGATTGGTTTTAGATACACTGAGGATTTTTAACATTTTAAGAAATAAGGAGCAACAAATGTCTGAATCATAATTAAAATTTAATCAAACGTAAAATATTAAGTATCTATTGCTCTATATTCCATTAATTAGAAAACTTTCTGTAAATATAAAGGCAGCCATACATACTTCTAAAGTGTTCAAAAGGTCCACCAAAATAGCACGAACGCCTTTTAGATTAATATCCGGAATCCTCAAAGCTTCCCTTATTTCCACAGCACAATTTCCTTGAGCACCTTCGAGAATCATGGCCAGCGTAGTTTTTATGCTCGCGGAAGACAAAAGAACATTAGTAGTTGTTTCACTAAACACCTAAAAGACACCTAGAATATAGACTATTTCTATGAAAATCTCATTAATTGAAATTAATGAATCATTAGAATAAAATTGTCAATCTCTTTAATACAAAAATTAAAGAAATTGTACAATATCTTCATACTGAATTTTTCTCACAAGAACATATGGGTATTTTCGAATACATTAAATCATTAAAAGCTTGGTAGTATACCTACATTTAATAATTCCATGTCAAATAAACTAAATCTGTTCGATAGTTCCTGCATATCTGCAACTTCTATATCGGTATTAGCAGGTTCCAGATTTGGAAACTGAGGTGAAACATTTGGTTGAATATTCAGTAAATCTGGGCTAGCTGAGCTTGTTGGCAGAGGCACATTTTGACTTGCTGCCGCTGCAGACTGTTTAGCAGTGGAAAACACTTGAGCAGCAACTAGAAACATATTTTACACAATTTATCAGAAGTAACATCAGAAATAGCAAAAATGCTACACTTTCGAGCGCACATGAGTGTCTTTCAGGCTTAGGTCAACTGTGAATATTTTTATATCCATACAATTTGAGAAACCAGATTAGCAGTTTTAGTATAGGAAATTTGACAAATCGAGTTTCAGAATACCTATTATTTTCCCAACAATATTCATTTTCTTGAGATTTAATTTTGAAGAAAACTGTAGTAAATACGTATTATAAGAAACTGTGTATGCTTTTACTGTCAAATGAATATGCCCTGCTGTTTTAAAATAAAATATTATTTTCCGAATAAGTAACTCTTAAAAATCAAATTAAACTACTGAAAAAGAGAGGATAGATATTAAAAATATATACACAGTTTTTTTTATTGTTTACAGTTTTGGTATAATACAAAACATATAAAGTTAAATTTTGGAATTTTTAAAAATGATTAAACAATGGTCTATTATTGTTTTTTCTACATTTCTTTAAAACTTTTACACAGGTGCACTTATCGCAATACTGTTGTTATTATAAATTTATAAAATAATGCTTTACTCGATAAGGTAATCTCTTATTTTAAAATAGCACATTTTTGTGGTTGCCATTTCTCAAACGTTCAAAAGTAAGCAATTTTATGGTTTTCACAAAAAAAATAATAATTTAAAAAATAAAATATTTAGCTACTGTCTTGTGAATACCTTATCGCAATATAATATACAGGGCGTCTCGGATAGGTGAAATGACTCTTGTATGAAACAAAAAAAAATTGTTGTTAACATTTGCCTCTCTGGGGTTCAGGTCTGCTTGTTTGTGAAACAAAATACGTTTTGATTTCAAATACGTAAAATGCAGTAGGCCTTGGAAATGTGGAAAGGCTTGTATTACAAAATTGAATTAAAATATACGTACAGAATAAATCAATAGTCACTAAATGTTGAATCATTGTAATATTAAAGTGTTAAAATTAGACTACATCTTTTTAATGTATTAGGTATATTATTGGCCTATAAAAAATCTCTTGTTTCCCAAACATAAACCTGATAATTAAATGTTATTATTAATAAGAATAAATATGGTCCGATATTTGGCGACCATTAAAATTTTTGATATTGTTTTTTTAAACAAGTTCACAGTATAATAATTATACATGTATAGATATTTCTAAATTTCCAAGGATTGCTGGATTTTGCGTATTTGAAATCATAACCACTTTGTTTCACGAACAAAAGAGCTGAATATCAGAAGGTTGTACTACAACAATTAACTTTTCCTGTCTCCTACAAGAGTCCCGGTGACACCCTGTATAGACACATACATATATGAAAACAAGATAAAGCTATTTACTACATTATAATATTAAATTCGTCTCGGTGTAAGAATTACCTACCTAAAGTTAGAAGCAATAAATTATACATTTTTACTATACCCAAAATAAACTAGTGATTCTCAACCGAGATGTTTACGTCCACATCACTAACTACTTCGGCAGGAATTGCAATTATAAAATTACAGAACTTGTTAGTGATGGTTGCAGAGTTAACAAATTAGCAATACAAACCATAGACAGGAGTACAAAATTGTTAAAGCAGATCAATTAAAATAAATTACAAAAACATGTTGCATTTAATATTAACTTAAAAACGATTTGTTTTTAAATAATATATGGACTTCATACAAAAATTGACATGTTTTTAACAACAATATAAAACGTGTTTACCTAACAATATTAACATAATTGAAAGTTCCAACTACGTTTATGGTTTGAGAGAAGAGTAACTTTTGATTAACCTTGGAAATTCCACACCCAGCTACTATTAAGCAGCACTTCTGTATTTCCAAAACAAAAAACGAGAACAAATGATACTAAGGTCTGTATTATCCATGCGGTCAAATATTTCAGAAAATACATTAGTATTTTTACAGTAAATAGGTATTAATTAATTAGACCAAAATTTAACTGACAACGAAAACCCGTGAAGTGTTTTAAAACCAGATTTTGTTGTTTTCTTTTCTGGCTGTTTAGATATGCAAATATAGCTGGTTCATACCTAAATATTTTATTTTATTTTTAACAGATTGGAAACTAATTAAGCATATTGTTTCATGCAACCGGATTGTATGTCTCGGTAAACAAGAATTTTATAACTTTTGATAGATGTTCTATTGATTAAACTATCGACTTACTATTACATTATTTACTTACTTACATTTCAAATGTATTAGTTCCTCACCTTGATTGTGAATAAAAAAAATAAAATTTATTATACCTAGCTTGTACAGTTTATAAATGCCAAACTATTTTTTGTTAACTTTTTATGTTGTGCATTAGTTTATCTTAAAATGTACATTTTTTTAAGGCTATCTACAAACAGTATGATCGACATTGATAATATATTTGAACGAAACCTCTCGAAATATGAAAGAACCTCCGATAGACAGCCACACAAAAAAAAAGTTGTCTGTACTTTTTATGCGACATATGTTACCCGTAGTATTTTTGCCTCATGATCACGAGTCCAATGTCAGAATTGAGCTATCACGTCACAGAAATTTCTTAACCTCAAAAAAACGGTCAAAAATAGCAAAAATTCACGAAAAAGTGCTAGGAAAAATACAATTCGAGGTCAGAATTGCGATATTCATTTTTTTTTTATAACCCGAGTACCTAATCATGTTTTAACCTTCTTTTCATTCAAGATCTATTCACGGATTTTCTGCTTAATCTCAGGTAATAAAGTACATAGGTAATTGATAAAATTTTTAAAAACGAATTTTATAGATCTGTAAATCTGGGATTTGTACTCATTGACCCCGAAAACCCCCGTATACCAAATATGGCGCGAATCTGTTATTTTTTGAAAATTTGATCTGCCATCTTGGATCCGCCATCTTGAGTTTTGCAAAATTGACCTCGGATCCGTGATCAGCGACCCCGAAAATTCTCGGATACCAAATTTGGCGCAAATCTGTTATTTTTTGAACATTTGTTTTTTTGAAGTAGAAAAAGAACCATTAATTCTTACCGCGGATTCATATTCGGCGGGGTCTTAACCATATAAATGAACATTTGAATATAGAAAAAAAATAATAATTCAAGATTATGATACGCTTAAGTGTTCTACATCCTTTTAAATATTGACAGGCTGAACGACCTAAGAAATGATGATCAGCAAATGTTTCCCATTTAGTTAGGAAGTGTGACACTTTTATTACTCTTAAATTTTATAATCAATATTGGAAATAGTAACAGTGACAATAGTGACGAGAATTAGTTTTATTTATTTAAGTTTAAAATTAAGTGTGGCTTTGTATTATTGCTTCTTCTTTCTAATTAGAAGATAATTATAATTATGCACGCGTTCATCACTGGAACAAGGATAACTAATGGGATTACAGGGTTGTGTCGTGGATATTATATACTCATGTCCAAACCAGTAAAAGCGTGTGTTCTAAGAAAATAGTACAATTATATTCAAATGCGAAGATGCACAAGCTTGTGGAAATGTGTCTTTCATTGAATGGATTTCGGGTCCCCGTTAGTGCAACGCACATGTACAATACATAACACCCATATAAGTTACAGCCCTGATTGATAACATGATAACCTCCATATTATTTTATTGCAATTTACTGCGTTAAAATTACTCGAATTGTACAAGGATAAACACAACATTATGCCCCTTGGTTTTAAAGCATTGCTTTGACATCACAAGAAAATATCTTATAATTTTTGTCGTTACTATTTTCACTAGGAGTAAAAGTAAAAATTATAAAGGGGATAGAATCAAATCAAATCTAAAGGGTGTTCTTTAAGTTTTGTTGTTTTTTGTTAAGTTTGCACCCTTGTTAAACTTTTTTAGGGATAAGATCAATTTACTTTTTTTGGAAACTAATATTTGAATAAAGTTTTCAGTAGACATTGACTTTATTTGTGATTTTATATCTTTTTAACCAACTTACCCTTATTCCGAACTCAACGCCTACTGAGATATACATATATAGGCCACTAAATGTTGTTTCACGAAATTACAATGAAAGACAAAAAAGCTATGGGGTATTTCGGTAAAGCGATAGATATAAGTTCTAAATTCTAAAAAAAGATAAACAAAAGTTCAAATGTTGGAAAAAAACTGGAATTAAATTAGATTAAAATACCCTCGGCTCCCCGTAACTGATAACTGTAGTGGAAAAATGAAATTTATTTTTACCTGAAACGATGATGCGACGGTTTTTGGTGATACGCGACAAATATAACAAGAATATGACAAAAAAACAAGACTGTTTCAAGAATTCTTCACAACATTTATCTTTTAGGTAAACTAAGTAAGTCTATGTTCATTTCTAGCTAACCTAAAAACTCTACCACATTTCATTTAAATATTTAAAAAAAAATTATGAAGTAAACAAAATGCGACTAGAAAAAAATTTTTTAAGACTCTTTTTAAGGGAGCAAAATTGCACTGAGGTAATTCGAACTAAATCAGTTTATTTTGTTTCAAGAAAGTCATCCTTGAATTGTTTTGTAAAAGGTGTTGCAAATTGGATGCGATAACACTTACACTACTTTCAAAGGTGTGAGAGATAAGAGATTGTTAAATTGATACAAAATTAAATAATTTAGAGAAGAATAGTGTTTCGAAAACAAGTCGAAAATTTCTGCTTTTATGTTTGAAATTTTCAAAAGCTAGGCAAAAATAGAAAAAACTTTCTTAAAGAACCTTTTTTTTCTTCTTTCAATTTGGAATTAGATTTTTAATGCGGTGTTTTGTTATTTAGTTACTGTCATCAGTTTAATTCTTTTAAACACTGATTTTATCGTTTCTAATTTGAAAAATTTTGTATTCGAATATGTGCAGGTCTTCATTAATTAACAAAAAATGTAGAATCGAATTATAACAAAGTTGTAAGTTATCCTAGATAAAATAATTAACTTTTACTTTAATATATACATATGACACTTTATTGGATCAGAGAGAGAACGAAGACTCGTATAGGACCAAGAATAGGAGGTATATGACAAGCATATTAATAGGTTTACAAAAATATGAAACTGATGGTCGCTAAAAGACGAAATGTCGCATTGAAAATCTGATTCGAATAGAGAAAAAAAAAATGTTTTATATTTTAACGTTGCTTTTCAAATGAAACGTAAATCTCAAAAACTAACCACTCTTCTAGGATACACTTCATTTAGGAGTTAGTCCTCCAATTTATGCAACTTTGCCCAAGTTTAACCATACCTCGATCTCTCACGATTTTTGGTGATTTGTAAGATTTTGAGTAAAATATAAATATATAGTAAAGTATTTATTTTACTTGTATTTAGTGATGGTTCTTTGGTCACGTCCACTGCTATAGTTTCCGTTTCTGAGGGATTTTCAATTTTACCATTGAATAATATAATTCCATTAGGACCTTCAATAAAGAATAAAAATGGATGTGTAGCATGAAAATTTTCTTTTGGCTCGCCGAATTTATTTCCTATGTTTACACCTAAAAAATATACTAGATATTATTAAAGAATCTATAGAGGAACTTCAAAAGGGCTTAAGAGTTTCAAAAGCGCTTCACATTTTTAGAACTGTTACTTTTTACGTTTTTTAATTTATATATATATTTTTTCGTTTTTTAACTTTATTTTCTTTAAATAATAATAAATAAAAACATATTGAAAACATTTTAATTATGATTTCATCATTTAAAAAAATTAACCAAAAAATATTTTCTTTATTATCTTTTTTATATAAAAATTCATTCTCGTTTTATTATGATTTGCTTTTTGCTATTATATTTGAATTAAAGAAAATGAAGATTTAAGTAATAAATACTTCGAAAATCAGAATAACCAATTAAAAAACAATTGAACGTCGATCTAAAGATACGGCCTGAAAAACATTTTTTTAACATGCTAATTTATTGAAAAATGACAGAAACAGAAAAGGAACATTTTTAAAATATTATTATTTAAAGATGTATCTATTGATGCACCGTATACAAATTTTTTGCCATAAATATACATATATCAGGCACTATTTTTTTTTATAGAGCATACTTTTCAAGTTAATGAAATTGGTTTAGTTCATAAAGTACCATAAGTATGACATATTTAATATTGTATAATTAAAAATACTGACTCAGTAAAATATTCGGGGTTATATAACTGATAAGTATAGGTGAAACTAATTTCGGGTCTATTTGAAACGATTACCACCAAAATCTTCCTATATAATTTCTACAAAATAAAATCGAGGGTGTTTTTCAATTTTGATTGTTTTCTTAAAACATTCTTGTTTGTGATCTCTTTTAAGAGATTTCTTATAGATAACTTTGTATATATGTAATACAGTGTATTGTATGTTGAAATATCTATGTTAGTTATGAAGTGTCAAAGTGACACAACGTTTTATTTCTGTAATACATAACAACCAAATAAAAATACAGTCCGCTACTAACCACAAACGATTCATTTAATTATTCAAATCAATCCTATAAATATATTTACCCGAAAATAGAAAATACAGCACATTTTATGGCCGATATATCTATAATTTCCGCTTTTTCAGTTACAACAGAAACTTAAATTTTTCAAAAGAAATATTTCCGATTTTTGAAATCTACCTAAAATTTTCAATTAATGTGATATCAAACTTGATATGTTTTTTTAGGTATAAAAACTAACATTTTATTTGTAATTCAAATGTTTCTTAATATTATTACGTGTGCCATGATTTGATGCATTGATGAAAAAAATGCATTGGACACTCAATTATATCAAAAATGCAGTTACATTTAGTTACAAAATAATAACTATTGGTGTTTATACCTTGAATCAGTTTTTGTTGTGTTTTGTTGTGTTTTTTGAAAAGAGATTTTACACAAATTTAAACAAATCGAACAATGTAATTGAGAAAACAGAAATTATTGAAAATATTGCTTACACCACTAACTAAAATGATCAGAAAAAACCTATACCTAACAGAACAGAAACTATAAAAAAAAATTCGAGACTGTTCAATACCTCTTGTAACTTTTATTATATTGTATTTTGACATACAAAGCCTCCATAAATGTTTATAAGCCACGTGACCATCGAGTTTAGACAACCAACATTACAGGGTTGGCACTGGTAACGAAAAATCCCTAAATATTGGCGTCGCCAATTTTAATAGTTCGGTTACAATGAACGATGACAAACCGTTACGTCTACGCTTGAGATAACGCGATCGCTGATTGTTTGAATAGAATCTCGTGAAAATTTACACCAATCGCAGCCGATGAAACAGTCACGTGGCTTGTAATTATTTATGAAGGCTATGTATAAAAACTACTGTATACATTACCGGTTGCCGAATAAACAACACTTCCTTCTTCATCTAATTCAATTCCAGTCTTTTGAATAATATCGGACACTATTAAGGCCCAGTTGTTATTTTTGGTTATGTTTGGAAAACTTGCAGTATTTTCAAACATTTGACGCAATCCAACCTGCAAATGTTTATTTTTAGTTCAAATCGACAATACACGTAGAACTTTTTGTCTTACGTTACGTAATGCCTCGGACATTTTTGTTTTAAAACTATATTTCAGTTTTGGAATGTGAACTTCCACTAAGCGCTTTTCCAGAGAGCGCAACAATGAAGAAAGTTTCTCAAGATTAATTCCCTTTATTAAATTTGGTAACCCTCCTAATGAATTTGGTAGAATTATGAACATAGAATAACCGCTTCCCTAAAACAAATATAATTTAAAAAAAAGTTATGAACTCATGGTAGTACAGTACCTTATATGGTAGCCTCAAAATTTTTGAATCGAGTTCTTTAGATTCTTTCATAAAAAACGTGTCTGTTGTGGACATGTAAGGAATACTCAATGTTTCCATATTGTTGATGTTTTCAGCGTTAACAAAGAATTTACCAAAATAAGTCTGATTCTTAGGAAACTGGTGCTCCCAAGTACCTTTAAAATAGACGGCATTCGCTACCAACATAATTGTTTGTTGCAGGTCCCCTAAAAAATACATTATTAGAATATTACAAAATTAAATTATTAAAAAATTTAAAAAACGGCTATAGAAATATTACATTTTTTATTATTTTTTTAGATAAACCATTAACGTAATACGTAAAAAAATTAAGCCCGTATATTTTTTAATAAACTCTATGGAAAAAAAAACATATACAGATAAAATACCAACCTGCCTTTACTATGTTAGAAATTTTTCCATTGGTTATTTTGTCGACCCATAAATTAATTGTATGACTGGCATTTGTGGAATCTGTAAAGCTTATGGGTTTTATTTCTGTTCCATAATATCGACTAACTTTTGATTCATAATTTGGATTAGCAGGAATTTGAGAATCCAAGAATACACTCGTTCCCATATTAAGTAAATATTCATTTCTTTCCGATGCCTAAAAATTTATATTTATATTATCATTATTTTTAATTGAGTAAATGTCATTTTAAGAAATATTCTGAAAGTATTCTATATAAATCTGAAGGCAAACCTGTAGTTTTAAGAGAATCTGATGATAATTATCATCAACAGTCTTCTTATCAATAAATTGTAGAACATTTTGGAATTCCTTTTCGGTAGAACCACTTGAACCTTGGTATAAAAGTGCTAATATTAATTTAACACTAACTGGTGACAGCAAAACGTTTTTATATTTTCCTGCAAGTTCCTAAAAGTGCTTATTTTAGTTCACATAAATTTATTCAAACCAAGACTTACTTTAAAAAGTCTCCAGTCAAACGTATCTGAAAAACTGACATTTGGGTGGTATAATTCTTCCTCAACTTTCGTCGCATTATTTTGTTTATCTTGAGCACAAGTCAGTCCTAAGCAAATTCCTAGAATGCAATATGACAGTTAATAATCAATTTTAAATAACTATTTTAATAGTGGGACTAAATGGATAACCATTACCTTAATAGATGATAGAAATATTATACCATAGTCTGTCACTTAAAAGACAGCACGACCTCAACCTACAAAATGATTACTTCGCCAATCCGTATTCGTATTTATCATTTATGTTATTTAAATCACAAAACAAAACGAATGCAAACGCACCTCAGGTAACATGCTAACCCTCAGGCCCCTCCTTATTCTGACGCCACTGGTTAGATTCTATTAAAATTTACTACGAATATGTAAACCAAATTCATTTGAACCCTGAGGGGTAAGATGTCCAGTGATAAAGTAGTGAAAATATTCGCTATTATTTTGATTTATGCATTCCAGAGCTCAAGCGGAATTTGTCCAGTTATACTACGACAGATTCAACCTGTGAAGGGTCAGAGACCTTAGGAAATGTTTTAGAAACAAATCTTACGGTTGCTTCTTTTTGTTTATTTGGGTGAGAGGAACCAGTCCCGAAAGTTTATCACTATTATACATCCTATCTATAGAAAGTTTCTTTTATTTTATATTGTGAGAAAAGTTTATTATAAAAAAAATCTTCGAATATAATTTGTAATTCAGTATATTAATTTTAGTTGATAATATATTTATTTAAATACGATGTTCTTTGTCAAGTGTAAAAATATAACCGTAGATTTTTTTCTCTGTTAAAACTACTTTTAGTTAACCAAATATATCACACTCAAACTACTATTTTATCCTCATCTCATTTAAAAAACGTTCTGATATATCGATCTTTGGATTGTTAAGGAAAAAAATACCTACTCTTGTTTAATTCTGATAAATTGAACCATTTCTGAGAAATTCAGATAAACATTAGTGAGTGAATCAGTAATATTTCATGACGTTGACCGCATATGCTCTGAAATATCAGATATTTTAACAATTTCAATAAAACGAGTATTTCAGCTGTGTCATCCTGAAATAAATTCAAAATTTTCTCAAGACAGTCTTATGAATTTATTTTCAAATGTTTTACGATAGTCAACTATATTTTTCTTCAAAGGAGACCTACCAAAATTTACAAATATAAATATAAAAATTTATTCAAGCAATAACTAAAGAGCTTGAGCTTTTTACAAATGAAACCTTTATATACATATTGTTAACCTGAATTTTTTTTCAAAAGATATAATTTATTTAAATTAAACAAGATTACATTTGAATATAAATACATTTTTTTAAATACATTGTATATATTGTTCTAAAATTCGTTGTTCTTTGAGACATAAGATGCTAGAGTTAAAAAAATATGCATTTTCAGCAGAGAAATTTAAACCAGTACAAGTTACTTTAAAATGCAATGCAGTAATATCAAGTCCCCTAAAAATCCAGTGGCGGAGATACGAGCAAACGCTTATTATGTAAATAAATAAAACGCTAATTAATTAAAAAAAAAGTAGTACAACTCTCTGCCAAGTAAAACTGATTCACATTTTCCATGACACCAAATGAAAATTGTCTTATATTTTTGTCACAATTGCACGGCAAATTCGATTTTTTAATTTTGCATTGTACTACAAGGCAATCTTAGTAAAACATGTCAAACTAATTTCTTTCTTGAATAAATTTTATGAAAATCGTGTTGGCTTATTTGCAAATTTCTGTTAGTTGCAAAAATTTAAGAAACAATAGATTTTTTTTAGAATTAATCAACTTTTATCTCGAAGAAGGAGTACTTCTAGAAATATATTCATATGAAAAAATCCTACGTTTTCAAAAGTACCATCACAAACTCTCGGTCAAGAAGTTAAATCTGACACCCTATATATTATGTATATATTATTTATATATTTTTTGAAAACAGGTAAAATTTGAATACTACTTAGGTTTGTGTGTAGATGCTTAAAAGGCATGATTTCGTATGTGTGTCTTATTGTTATCATTTTCGGAAAAAATTTATATAAAAGTACCTTTAATTTTAAATCCCCTGAAAAAATTGGGGACAAGTTAGGTCCACTCTGTATATCAACGAACTTGGATACTTATTGGCTTCAAATATTGAAAGAAGTAATGAAATAAATATTTGATATCTCTAAACTATGAAAGAAAATAGGCAAACAAAATTTAAATTGACCAATTTATTTAAAAAGAAAAGTCGGTTGTAGTTTAGAAAACGAAAATAGATTGATTTTGGAAATATTAGTTGAAGGGATTGTATAGTGACGTCTATTTTTTTCTTGGTCTACATTTTTCAGGGAAAAATTTTTGGTTAGTCTAAAACAGTTTCATAGAAACAACTCGAACTGTTTTTTTGGGGCAAGGGTTTATTTAATTAGTCATTATTTTTTTTCACAGGTGGCAAAATATCCAAACAAACAAATGCTACAAATAAATAATCTCATACAATTTAGCCATTGAACTAGAATAAATACAATAGAAAATTGATTAGAGAAATTTAATTTAAGTAATGATAGGTACACATACCGAAAATTAAACACAACAACATTCTGGTTCGGCGGCACAAACTAAATGTTTAATATTTATAACTTTATACCCCCACTTTGTATAAAAGATCAGATCTCAGTTTCACGTTCACAGTCAACCGACTCTACAAAAACGAACACAATCAAATAAAAAAAAAAACAAAATTATAATTTGTGATATATTTAAAGCATTATGTCTTTCACATAGTTTACGTGGTTATACAAGCATTTAACTTCAACTGAATTTTATATTTCAGAGCAAACTGCTGAATTATATTAATGAAATCTTTATTACAAAACGAATTAGTAGCAGCAGATACTTGTTATACTGGTTAGAGGCTTCACAACATGGTCACGTCACAGGAAAACCCATGGCTGGATGGTATTATTGATGATGCACCAATGATAACGTACAAAGTCAAGGTGGAAGATTTACATCCAAACTAAAATAAAAATGTATTCTTGTATTCAATTAAATAAATTAAATTAAATAAATAAATATATACAGGGTGTTTTATAACCAAATGTAATGGCAGAGTGATGCGAGTACAGTATGATCAGTTAAAAAGTGGTAGGTCACAATTTATAGATATGGGGGATCATTTTTTTATCTTCAATAAAACTTCTTTTGTTCATTTGTTGTTGGTGCCATGAGGGCCAACAAACTCTTGAAAACAGGATTTAAAAAATCCAGGCCCGTATTGAGAAAATTCTTGTTCATTCGTGGCCCCTTCAAAATGTTCATTTTACATTTTTTATATTATATCTTTTAGTATAGGTACTAAAAATACTCAGTGGGAAAACCATATTTTTGATTTTTTTTGTCGCGCTTCCTCAACTTTGAATGAAAGTGAAGAATGAAAGTCACGCTTTTTTAATATTTCAATATTATTTTATAAAGAAAAATAGACCCAAACTTTGTATAATTCAGAGTACCACGCTTTTCTATTGCACTTTTGCAAATTTTATCCTATCCTATTAGTAACTTTCACCCATATTTTGACAATGAAGCCAGGCGCATAGTGTAGGTACTTTAGTGATTAAAAAATTTCGAATTGAATTTGAGACACAAAAAATTAAAATAGGGATTGGCAAAATATATATTTTTATTTAAATTTTGAGTTAATATTAACGTCCCATTTTTAAAACTTTATAATATTAAACTTTAAGAAAAACATTCAAATTTTGCGAAAAACAAGATAACACCTTTTTGTATCGTATCTATGTTGGTTATAAAAAAAATCAGCAAATATATGTGCAATGATTTTCGAGATTTCAGGGTTTTTAAATTGAAAATTTTGGTCATCATGAAAGTTCTCTGTGCAAATCTTGATGTAAAAAAAATATGGTGGGCCATCACTGGTTTGCCCTGTATATTTGTATAAAAACAGTTGAAAACCATAATGTGAGTTTCTAATTGGATGGAAATTAAAATATATTATTCCTACGTCAGTGCAGAGTAACAAGAACCTTTTCTCTTCTATTTTACTTGATAATTTTCAATAATAAATCGTAATACAGACTTGATTTTGAAGATAATGACAAATAACATCACAAGACATCTAATAATTTAACCTAATGCAAAAACTAAAACCCTTTAAAATATATTTTTTTTAATACTGTTGTGTATAAAACTACTACCTATATGAAGATGTGATATTACAAATAAAAATAAAGGAAATAGGTACCTACAAAAATTTAAACTGCAAAAACAAATATTGAAAATCTGACGGAAAACAGTTGTTACCGGAATTTCATTGTTGCGAAAAATATAACAAATAAATCAAATGCAGGGTTTTTCTTACTATTTCAAGTATGTACTTTCAATGTTTCATATGAAATTTCAATACTGTCCCAGAATTTTGGAACTCCACCCTCAAGAGTCTGTTGGCCTTCAGTAGTATTGGTATTACCAAATATAAATGAATTCCTACAAATAGTTCCAAAGCTATAGCCAAAATTAGTTTTAATGAAAATTTAAGTCACTCGTTACAGAGTGTTTCTTCTGAAATAAAACCATGTACAACATATGCAGGTTTTGACTTTGATTGTTTATTACAGATGTTCTGAAAGCTACATAAAGTATACAGTGTCGTGCCTAGTGTTATGTAATTTTTTCTCGAAAACTAGGTTTGACCCCACAAAAAAGCACCCTTGTGTTCAGCACCCGCGAAAATAGAGGAGTAAGAAAATTTTTGTGACATTTTGGGCATTTTTTGCTATAGTAAATAATAATTACCACTAATTTTTATGAAATGCGGATTGATTAGAAAGCAAATATATATATTTTAGCTAAATTAAATTAAAACAATGCATAACGTGTTTATCAAAGTACATACACATAAACTCAAGTTATAAGTTAACAAAATCAAAAAATATTACAAATTCTACTGTATAAAACTATGCGCATATCAAACCAAAAATTTCTTGAATCATTGGAAATTATTCTAATCACTTCCAACTTATTGGAAACTGATCTCTTGCTTTCTATATACCAAATTTGTTGTCTGATAATTAATTGCCAATCGTTCTTCAAACAAAATTATTTAAATATTCTATATTCGACTTGTTTCTTCAATTAATTTATAAGAACCGTCCATATTTTTATTTGATTGGAATCCTTTCGTCAAACTTGTTGTCAACTTTGTGAAAATTAAAAGTTTCAACAAAGTATTCGCCTTCGTGCAAGAGACAAGAGACGTAAAGAGGCATTTACATATACGAGTATTGGGATTCGAGTGGGACTACTAGTACTCAGATGAAAATTCGGTAATCTAAACGTGTACCTACTAAATAGTATGCATAATACACGTTTAGATTTCCGAATTTTCATTCGAGTACCTACTCTGATCCGAGTACTGCTCGTAAATGTAAATTCCGCTTAACGGTGGTAAAATTTTTCGCGCAGACCTATACTAATCATATATAGGTGATAGACAAGTTTTTTCCCAAATAGAATAATAGTTAGAGTTTTATCACCACTACGGTTGGTTTTGATAGATTTTAGATTTGGATGGTGCAAATCCATAAAATAGATGCATCAAAGACGTAAAAAGAATTTAATTTCTTAATATTATAGATAGGTACATGACATTTTTTAGTTAAAATTTATCACATATACTCCGCGGTAGAAATGAAGCGTGCCGGGAACGAAAATTCATTGGCGTGTCTGCGTAAAAGGCAACAAGATATAGAAAATATTGAAAAAACATAATAAAACATAACATCTAATATTTTTTACGGTTTGCTATAACCGGCACTTTGATCCATTTTAATTATTACAGCATTTTAAAACGTCCCAGTTGTGTTTTTTTAATTTATAAATTTATTATAGCCATGGAATTAGACCCCTCGTCTACGCTTATGCTATGACGTTTCTCAGGACGGGTAAATCAAGTCCGTTTACACCCACTAAAAAAGCATTTCCCTATTCCCTACCAAGTGCAAAAGACAGAGATAGAATATAGATCGACGTTCAGTGTAACTCAGTCTATAGACGATTATAGATTCTATCGATGTGCGTAGCAAGCGGCACAAAGATAAATAATATGGAACTGTATAAAAATCATTTTATATTTTATACGCATTATGGTAATAGTGTTTTTATATTATGTCTTAGTCACTCTCTATAATTTCGACCGCGGAGTATAGATGACTTGGAAATAACAAAATTGTTATATCATTCAAGTTTGAGGTTAAAAATCAAAACAATGGCCGTATACTCTGGTCTTGATCAGATTATGCCAGTGTAAGCAAAATACTGTAAAATTATGCCGTAAGTTACACACATTTTATCAAGAAACGATACATGTGACATACATCAACATAAACCGGAAAAATTTAGATCGCGGAGATATCCTTTTAGTAGTGTTCATTCATTGACATATTAGCATAGAAGCGCCTGTTGCCGTGAACAGCTACTTCTGTCGTAATATTTCTTCAACGCAGTTATAACCACCCTTCGAGCATATACCTACTAGAGGCAGCCTTCAATGCTAAATGAGCGAACAGACGTGCGAGAGAGAAAGCAAATAAAACTACAAGTTATCTCTCTCACTCCGTAAATTTTATTGGTTGAGAATTAGACCCCGTGATTCCCCTCGAGCACCTCACATTACGGAGTGAGAGAGATAGCTAATAGTTTTATTTTCTTTCTCTCTCGCACGTCTGTTCGCTCATTTAGTATTGAAGGCTGCCTCTAGTAGGTATATCATATACTTATTATATATATACTGGTAGCCGGCTATAGGCCCCTGTGTACGGAATTGTCCGGAGAAAAGGAGATACTTTTCTGTCTCTTCCTGGGAATTAGAACCCAATGCGCATGCCCTGCACACAAAATCATGAACGAGGGGAGAGAACAAGACGGCCATGGTCCCTACTACGGATTGTCCACTGCTTAGATTGTGACATTTTGCTTATTGTATCTAGCGAAATTGTCATATTCTCGCATTGGCATCCGCTTCTAACGCATGCGCACCATTCCCTGTTTACTCGGCAAGGACAGAGCGATGAGGCTTTCCTTCCGGTCAAGATCCAAATAAAACTCACAGTGTATAGATAGTATGTATATGAGGTATATGCTCGAAGTAACCACCTAATCTTGATACAGAGAGATCCAGAATGGTTTGGGGAACGCAGCCTGTTTCTAACACCATTTTTATCATATAAAAAATCTTCCACTTCCAAACACTTCAATCATTCTGGATCTCCCGATATATCTAATTTTCTTTGATCAAAGATCTATCTATTTATCTATCTATCTAAAATGCCTTATGCCACTATCTCGTTTTTCTAACGCGAAGAGTGCAAATCTGTTGTCTATTATTTGTCGTTCCTTGGTCTGAGATCGACAGTTGTTCAGGTGTGCGTTTAATTCTTTTCATTCTCTCATTCCTGTGTGCAATAATGCAGGGAGTGAAACTGATCATTTTGTTCACGGTGAACTAGGCGTAGAACAATTAGTGAACTAGTTCACCACAGGGAATAGTTCATTTGAACTGATTCGATCACAAACTACACACCACAGATCCACAGATCCACAGATAAGCTACACACCTAGCCGGAAGCGCCAACAAAATTTTGCGAAGTGAAAATATGAAAACAACCATAGTTAACCGCGTTCGCGTTAGTGGTTTTCTCACCAAAAAAATATTATTTGACGCGATTGATTGAAAGTGAACGCGACCATTTTTTGACATAAATGTACTATTTATAGTATTTTTATAGTGTTTACTGTTTAATTAGTCTAGGTATTTTTAGCACGAAACTTAAAAAGTTCTTGGTATTTTTATTAGGTAAACTGAAACTCGTGATTAAAATACTGTGTACATAGTCTCTGTCATCTGTATAAATACAATAGAACTAATGCGCCCCTCTAGTAAAACCGCTAAAGGCAAAACCAATAAAGATATTGTCAGAATGGATGACGTTGGGAAAGAAGCAAAGTCAATAATTGAAAAAATTTTAGGGGATGTTAGTAAAACGTCTGCTACTAAACAATTACTGTTAGGGACATCTTCAGGGTGGTAAGTTGCAGCAGCTGCTGTTTACTACGATTGTACAATATTTTTTCAGTTCAAATATAACTATTACGTACATAAATACTATGAAGAGAAATACAGTTTTAAAATAATTTATTTAAGGGTTACAGGATTCTTAGCTATGCGAGTTGGAAAAACTGCAGCTTTAGCTTTAGGTAGTGGCATAATATTAGTGCAGATTGCCAATGAAAAAGGATATATTAAAATAAATTGGGATAAAGTTAACAAGAATATTGATAACATTACAGATAAAGTAGAAGAAACAATAACGGGAGAAACTTCTACTTTTATGGATAAGGTAAACATTTATTTTATTGCCTTTTTTATATTATAAATTAATTTTATATTGATGAAAATAGATTTAATACAGTGTACTCTAAAACTAGACAAAAATGTATGTGCTATCTCAGTGGTCTTATAACTGGTCACATCCAATTCCTCCAAATGTTTCACCATTGCCGGGATCTTTAGTGGTGACTGCAAATGCTTCACCATGGCATATGCAAACACCATCCCACCAATATTTGCATACAATTCAAACCTTTTTTAAGTTCTCTGGAACAAGGTCATATTTCACCTAGTGAAATATTGTCAATTCAACTATTTCACATTTTCATGTTTTGCCCAAAGTAATTATTTTGACAAGTTTTTTGAAGAAAAATTACCTCAGAAATATTAAATTAATAAAATAAATTCAAAACATAAGTTTCGCCCATTATAAACCATATAGATTAATGGTATCCTAATTAACGTACAGTCTCTTTCTAGGCTCTTAAACTGTAGTGTTGAAGAATGTCCCTTTTCTAGCTCTATGACTAGTTGTAACTCCTGATAAAATTTCAAATTCTCTTTACTGACTTAAAATTCGTATGAAGCAAGCAGCAAGACATAGTTACAGTGGCGGCACGTGAACATTGATTGAATGTGTTCTGCTTAGGGTTGTTACATTTGTTGAATTGAATTCCGGGATATTAAGTATCCGGAGTCCGGAGTCTTTAAATGGCTTTAAAAATTTTAAAACTATCAAGGTCACGCGTTTTCTTGGCACTTCTGAATTTCAAGGAACAATCCATTTATACAAAAATACAGATTTTCACAAGAACGATTTTCGAAATTGATACCTTTTTGAAATATCTATTCACGAATTACCTACTGACGGTATAAATAAATTGGAATAAACTAAATATATTTTATTAAATTATTGAATATTGTTTATAAACAAAAAAATCGTTTGTGAAATTTACCAACGATTCAACGAATTTTAATTTTCCTCGCCGTGTTATGATTTTTTCTTTATCTTTTTTTATATATATGTACATTATATTATATTCCGGGAGTTATACGTGCAAATCCGAAATCCGGGACCATACAGCTAATTCCCGGTACAATCACAGAAAATCCCGGTCATACCCATGTGGCTAGATGTTCTTTTAAAATGTCGTCAAGATCTACACTAAAATTTATGAGTCCACGAAACACATCAGGGTTGTCCGAATTTTCTGTCTCGTCGTGTCCGAGAAGTGCTAATTCGAAAGCTCCGCAAAATTTTATGCAATCTATGATTTTAAATAATACATGACGATTTTTCATTACCTGTTCATATGTTTCCGTATATTATCCCAATATGCAGAATCTAACTGACTTCTTATGTTTATTTTACCTAAAGACTTAATGACTTAAATCTTTCACACTGTATATTGTCCATGCTTTATCCCCACCGAAAAGTAAGCACGGAAAACAAAACAGTGAATATTTTAAATCACACCCGCACACCCACTCTGCTTTTGTGTATACATTATTGTTTTTTTATAACTTTTACTTCTTTTATTTTTAGTTTATCCTCATAAGGCAGAGAACCAAATAAAGTTTTTTTTTAAACGAAACGCTATTCATTTTAATAACTATAATATCCGTAGACGCCTAAACGAAAATATTCACACGTGCCGCTCGCAGAAATAAACCACCACATACCACGTACGAAATATTACTGCATTTACTGCAGCAGTGGCTGTCGCTGTTACAGCTACATAAGCCCATTATATTCGTGTACTGCGTCACGTGCCTGATTAGCCAATAAAAACAAAGGACGCATCTGTTCGCTGTGCACACATTTTGTATATGAGGTTGCATATATTGAGGGGTGTAGCTCGCGTCGTAATAATAATATAAGCTCCTAGATTTATTTTAACGCAAGTACATTTGAATTCTTTAAATATTTTGTTGATATTTAATATGATTAAATACATAAAATTTTATGTGTTCTGCAGCTCCGCAGCTCTTATGGTAAAACCGTCACTGCATAGTTATGTCAATTTCTAGCTGTTTAAATATTTAATACCGCAAATCTCAGTTGTATCTGTAAATTACTGCCACTTTTCTAATTTCGCCAACTTTCTGTCAATTTTTGTAACTGAGATAGGAATGCATTTCCATCTACTTGAGAATACAGTATATTTGAAAAATTTGTTGCAATAAGAATTTATAAAAACCATCAAGTTGTTTATAGAAAACATTTGTTAATCGTAAATTCAAATATCCAGTGATCAACATTTTAATAAAAGGAACAATTGCAAAAATTAATATTTGATTACAGTAAATGTTTATACAAATGAAAAATAGAAAAGTTTAGATAAAAACTTTGCGACACAAGTTTGAGACTACAATAGTAAACGATTACTACAAATTTCTGTAAACAACATTTGGTAATATTTACTTAATTTTACGTAGTAATATTGTTAATTTAATTTTAATACTACATATCGTTTCATTCAGTTTGAATTTGAATTCAATTAATTTTAGGTTATGAAATTTGCACGAAAAAGTACATCCTTTACTACTGGTTTTATTGGTGGCTTTTTGATTGGTTTAGGGTCACGTTAAAACAAATTAGAAAGCAAATATTACCAAATACCAGATACATTAAGATATATTTAAGTTTATGTTAATTAAAATTTATTTTATAAATGTATTCCCCGTGTAGTAATAGTAATATATGTATAAACTATTTAGTCATATTATTTTTTAATTATACAAATGAAACACTGAAGTTTTCCCACAATTCTATGGCGATAACTTGCCATATAGTATTAATTTTTAATATAAATGTTAGAGGTGCATGTCTATAATTATATGTATGGAAGAATCTTCCATTATTGTGTTCCAGATTAGAATCTCCATCTCTTGCAGTTTTTGAGTATTGTGAGAAAACAAAAGAAAAATCTAATTTTGTCACTTTGTATCTCAATTACAAAGTGATTTATAACTTGTTATTCATATGAATTCAGATCAGATCTATGGCATGCGGATGCTTAGGTCTTGCTCTACATGAGTGCTCGTTAAAGGGTGTACATTTTTAAGTTTTAATCTATATCATTTCACTAGAGGATACATTTTTACCAGTTTACTAGTGTTAATATTTGATTTAAAAAATTCACAATAAAAAGTACTGTCACTAGTGTTACCGCACTAAGGGCGATTAAAAATAAACGGGTGAAACTAATTTTTGGTTGATTCTATTTAAAAATATATTTTTTGAGCATCATTTGTTGTTAATTGTTTGTACACTTCTATATTGGGACACTGGATATTTAGGGCAGCTAACATAAAGATAACTGAGAAGTGTTTTGTTAATAGCATAAAACTATTTTGTTATTATTACTTGTATTCAATTTACCTCTCCTATCATTTCCAATACACTTTTCAATTTTACTGAGCAGAAGCTACAGCCGTTTCAGACTCAATTGAAGTTTTATTTATGACTTTTTTTATCCTTAGTTATATCTTAAAAGATAATTAGATAGAGTTTATCTACGTATTATTCACCAATTTGGAAATTGTTAAAATTGTCTGCATTAAATCTTAGTTAATTGTTGTTTCAATTGATTTTTTTCCAATTAACCTATGTTTATCATCAGAAAAATTGCTATTTTGGTAATTTAACTATTTTTCAAGTTCAATAATAAAGAAGTTAGCAATAGTTATTAACTGAGATCATAATAATATAGTCAGACCCAAATGATGATGCTCCAAATTGGTTGTGATAATATTGATTTAGAAAGATGACAAATTGGGTCAAAGTTACATCATTTAGTTAGTTCTGAAGAATATTGGTATTTAAGTAATATTTTTGTTTGTGTAAAAAATTAATTTGACGACAGCTGCAAAAAAAAAAAAACGGGAGCTGAAAACCTATTTCCATATTCTATACAAGAAAATTATATAAAAAAAAACTGCAAAATCAACTACATTCACAAACAAAAATTACTGAATCATCGATAATGGCCAAAATTAAAAACAGCACTGTTACACTTTACACACTACTGGAAAAAATGAATTATTTATATTAATTTGTTAGGGTAACAATAAAGAATTTGTATATAACTTTCATTGTCACAACAACAAAACAACTAGAACAACTAAAACTTTAGTTTCAACTAAATGTCATTGAAATAGTAGTGATTTGTTTCGAAATAATACTATTTGTTGCGAAAGCAATGCGGGACCATTTTGCATAATCTTTCATCTGTGTCTGAGATGAAAAGACCTAATATCTGAGTGTGTAAAATGCTTTATATTTAATTAACGCATATTTTTGGATAATAGGAAAAAATTGTATGAGATTCGTGTGTAAAGTTGTATTCACTTATTGAGCAAAATTCTCACTTGTGAAAAAACTATTACTCTATACATATAAATAACTACTATTAAAATTGAAATTTTGATGTCTGATCTGCTGAATTTTGACCAAATAAATCTTTAACATGTTCCTGAAATACGGGGTGTTCAAGAATATTATTATATTTGGAGGAGTGGCTTAAAAGTACTATTGGCCATTCTAGTTATAGCATAATTTTCAAATACCATTTTTGAACAATCGTAATACTGTACAAAGCATTTAGACTTATTCATATAAACTTTTTTATTTTTTGTGTATTATGTATGCTAAAACCCCTTCAAGTATAACAACGGAATTCTTAAACATAGTGCATTTCAGTATATTTAACATTTATATATTCTACTTCGAATCCATAGCAGACATCAAAATTCTCAAGAAACAATACAATATCATGTAGATTATTTTGGATACTGGAATATTTAAATAAAAATTATAAATTTGTTCTTAATAGGCAGAAAAATATGTTGATAGAAAATTAAATCAAGCAGAAGATCATTTAAAAAAGGGACAACACAAAGCAAAGAAATGGTACTCAGGTTTAACAGGAGATCAATGTAATCTCAAGGAACTACACATATTCTTAGTATCTTTCGTGGCTGGAATTGCAATTGGAATTGGTACTTCGTAAATTTATAGACCTATCTGTATTTATCTAATTGTAATTATATAAACATATTTTTAAGCAGTATTTTGTGTGAATAATTTTACTTCAAGTTCTCAAATAATATTATGCTTGCTAATAATATAAGAAAAATTGTAATGTTATTATTTCATTTGATTACTCATTAAATTTTATCATACTAACTACTTTAATAATTATATCTAAAAAATTAGAATTTATCCTAGTAAATTAGTAAATATCAAACTATCACTACTAAGTGAAATGGCATACTTATTAAAAATCACCAGAACCATTTGATTTTTAACGCAGCAATTTATGTGCAAAAAAATTATAAGGAGAATGTGAATCTACGTCCAGGGACCTCAAAGTGAAAAAGGGTCAGTCAACTAGATGTATACAGGGTCAGAAAGTACCGATGGTCCATCTGCCGTTACGTGAGAGCGATAAAGTAAGTCATAGAAATCCGTGCGATAGAGAAAGATGGCTATAATGAAGACGTCTAATAGTCACCGCCAATTTCGCCCTTCCACAAATAAGAAGTGGATCTTATTTGTGGAAGGGCGAAACGGGCGGTGACTATGAGACGCCTTCATTATAGCCATCCTTCTCTATTGCATGGATTTCTATGTCTTATTTTATCGCTCTCACGTAACGGCAGATGGACCATCGGTACTTTCCGAACCTGTATCTCTAACAAACACTCCCAACATTTGATGATAGAAAAATGACACAAAGTATTGTATGGAAAGCTGAAATGAAACAATGTCAAGGTTGAAATTGTTATATTTTAATCCGTACAAGACATTAAAAACGTGATTTTTAGAAAAGAAATTGAGATGAAGGTTCCGTTGCCATCTTGCAACCTCTGAATCCACACTTACAGACCAGCAGAATTATCTAACGTTACCAACGTCAATTCAGCAAATTAACTAATCTATCTAAATTATGTGTTTCCGAATGTAATAATTTTGATAATATATTATTTGTATGAAAGATATGTATGTATGTTCCTTAAATATTTTTACTCCTGTGTCACGTTTTGAAAGCCTACTGCTTATGTACAGGCTGATTCACGCAAATCAACCATTAGAAGTTTTCTTGGTTATAGTGATAATTTATTTTGAAAATTTCATATCCTACATAATCAAATGAAAACTGCAATGAAAATATTTTTAAAGTGCGGAAGTCACCTCCAACTTCAATATTTTAAGTTGAATGGTATAATTTTTATTTAATTATTGCATTCATAATATTCTAGTTAAACTTTCATAATGCTCGCTTCTCTATATCTATTCCTTGTCATTTACGATATTTTTAATTTGTTGAAAAAAAAGTATCACCTAGTTTGAAAATTCCTATATCGAGCATGCATTATGACCGTAAAAGACAATTTTTAGAAGTGGCATAGTAGATAGAACCTTAATCTTTCTGGACATGCTTTTGATATTACCCAATTTTTGGGATGGCACGTTTTGTATATTTTCATACATAGTTCATATATACATTGAATTTATTAATAATTAAATCAATGCATTTTTCTAAATATGTGTTTTATACCAAATTATAAATTTTTTGTATTCGAAAATATTTTGCATGACCGATATTTTGACTGAACACATTGTAATTAAGCAATATATAAATTGTATTTACTCGTTAGAAATTAAATATATTCAAAAATAAACAAAAAGATATTCAGCGCACATTATATGTAAAAACCACCGTCTAGACCAAGGGTCGGCAACTGACGGACCGCGGAAGGTAATATACTGGACCGCCAAAAATTTTTTAAAAGTATAAATTACTCAAATAAATTATTTAAAACATGTTTTCTACGTTTAAGTGCCAATCTTATAATTTCTTCTAGTATTTTACAATTGTGTGAGTGTGTCAGTTATTAATGGTTAGTAAGCAGATTAAATTTGAGTCGAAATTAAAATAATAAATATGAATTTTTTTCTGGACCTCGTTAAAAATTTTCAAGAGTATCCGGACCCCACCTAAAATTACTTGCCGACCCCTGGTCTAGACTGACAGAAGAACCTTTATTACAACTGTACAATAGCTGGCAAACTATATTAGTAGATAGAAAATATGTCTTACTTGTTTTTGATATGTCCAAATCAAAATCTATGATCCTGTTCTGCGGTTGTGTGGTAAATATCACGCTAAGTTTCCACTTGTAAGATAATAATTTAAAAAGTACTATTAAATTCTATTTATTAAACAAAAGTACGAAAATTTCTGTACAAAAAAAAATTGAAATTACACATTTCAAACGTAACGGTATCTGGCACACTATATTTGTATTAATCAACAGAATCTTCTCCATGTGACTCAGCTCCTGACTCTTCCGTCCCTGATTCATCTGTTCCTGAACCTGTTCCGGAACCCTAAAAATAATTAAACCTAAACAAGGGATCGATTTATTCCTTACATTCTCTAATTGATTCTCAATATTCATTATATTTGCAATATATTTTCCATATTTTTAATATTACCGCATTAAAAATCTGGAAGCCTAATTTATATATTAATATAGTTACGTCGGCTCACAAATACAAATTAATTTTTTATAGTGCGCAACAGTGATGTTGCGACACACTTTCAGGACTCATTCCCATTAAAGTAATAAGAAAGAGGAATAACATTTTTACATAAAATAATCTTCAAGGGTCCTAGAATCCATCAGATTGGACAGGAAACATTTTTTTGATCAATTACTTAAGACCTATTGAAAATATAAACTTCAAGCTTGGTACAGTGCTATTGCATAACAGTGGAGCATAAATGTAAAAATTTTAACAAAAATCAATCTGTCAAGCACAATCTTTTACAAATTTGCATAGACAGCTAAAGACCACGACGATGTTGGGAACACCATAAATGAATATTAGTAAAATTTAAAATTGTTCCACAAATTCATGTTTATTTGAATGAAAGATAGCCAGACAGATAGGTTTCTATTTTCCATAATTACGTACCTTAATTGTCGAGAAATTATAACAAAATAACTGGCCAGACTGTTGCTGACAAGCTCCTAACAATGTTATGGTTTTTGGATTTTTACCCATGGTAATGGTATATTCTATAAATTTTTTGCTGTTGAACTCCCCTTCCCCTTAAAATTGTACGGTAACTGGACTGCACCAAATTTGAAGTCCATATCTTCAAAGGTTCTCGTATAATTTATTAAACTTTATTTCATGTCAATCTATCTTGTATTCTTTCAGACATCAGCTATTTTTTATCAGAACATTTATGTAAATTAAAATATTTGGTGTTAATAGCATATTGTTCAGTTAGAAAACGAAAATGCAAAATGCTTCGTATATGCCATATGAATTAAATTGTAACTCTCCCAACGTCTTCTGCTGTCCATATAGATGCCAGACATTTCCTTACCAAACTATAACTTTTTCACAAATCTCATGTTTTACTTCTGTTTCGGAGAAAAAAATTATTTGTGTTATTCCATGCTGGAATGCAGTTTACTTTACTTCCATGTGTTAAATGCACAACAGTGCAGACTGAATGGCTAAACCAAGTCAATGTGTTCCAACACATCGGGTACCATAAAAAAGTTAGTCATTTGTTTCCTTTCCTTACAGCATAATTCAAATTATAATTTAAATTTGAATGCTTCTCAAAGTTCAAAGAAGTGCTCAAATATGAAACTAGTATTTTTTTGTATTATAGGTTGTTAGGTATTTTTTTTTCTAAGAAAATTACAATTTGTCTAGTAGATGCATCACGTAAACTATTTAGCATGTAATTAATTTTATATTAGTAATAACTATTACTATTGCCAAGTATATTGAAAGTAATTCTTACAAGTTAACGATTATGTTGTTTTCATGGCACGAAAATAACTAAGACAAATAGTAATAGATTCAGTGTTTCTAAAAATGACCACTAATAGTGCATTTTTTTTAAAATATTCTGCAAATAAAGCTTCTTAAATGATAGCTATTTATTATTAATCAACATAACCATTTATATTTTAGTGTGTGTTCTTAATTCTAATATTTTAAACAAAATATTTGAGTTACCATAAATAAGATCATAAGACATATATAGGATGTTTTTTAAGTTGAAGTTTTCCTTTCAACACTTTGGTAAGAATTCAAAATAGTAAGAATTAAAAAAAAAATTTTTTTTTAAAACTCAAAAATAAAAACAAAAAACTTTTAATTTAGATAGCCCATATATGCCTATTTCAGAAATTATTTATTTTGTTAGTAAAAGTTCATGCTAATTCATTGACATTTATTATAATTAGCTTAAGATTCTCATTATAATAAAAAATAGTTCTTATGACATGCTAATTTGTTTATCAATTTACCAGTTTTTTTAGAATATGTATTTCAGAAATGGAAATAGGGGGTTTCAGAACCGCTTAAATAACATTACATTAAAATTAATCCCTTAATGTTACAGAGGTTAGCATACATGGTTATTTGTATCATGCCATTGACATTAGAGATTCTCAAATAACAGGTTCTAAATCTATTTAAGTTCATGGGTTGTTTACTTTTCTTCATAGGCTTTAAAATATCTAGTTTCTTGGTGTACAATATGCCTCATAGGATACCTATTAAATTTCAGAATGTAGATTTTCTCAACTTCATTTGGTATAGTTACGTGACAAAAAAAATCAAAATCCCAGTTCTATATGAAAAATTTTGTTTATCCTTATATTTTCTCTTGTTCCCCTATATTCTCTCATCTCCCTACATCCCTTATGATTTTTTACATTCCAAGTGTATTTTCCCTTCGAAATGTACACCTCTATTCCCTAAAGGCACAGACATTTCCATATTGAAGACGAGTCCTACACTTACGGTACATGTTGACTTTTTGCATGGTTCCAAGCAACATATTCCTTTGTGACTTTGCGCGACTATGAGGCACTAATCACTAAAAATGTCTACCAAATTTGGTACTGATACTTCAATTGGTTTTGAAGGTATTAAAAAAAAAAAAACATCAACAGGTCATATTCAATTTCTATAAGGAGTCAAAGTTGGACCTCTAGTTTTATAAACTGTTTGTGTCAATTTTAATGAAGAAACACCGTAGAAGTTAGAAGATCAAATTAAAAGACACCTTGTATAAACAGTTTCTCACCTCTTCATCATCGTCATCTTCAGGTTCCTCTTTTTTAATTTTTCTTCTTGAGTTAGAGAATGCTTCAAGTTCTTCTTTAGTCAAACTTTTCAAAAAATTTTCAAAATCTACAATATAAGCTTGCTTTTTTTTAACTAATTCGTCTTCATATACCTTCTTCTGTTCCAGTGTCAAGGCTTTCCAGGCTTGCAAAGCTGGCTCTTCTCCATCATACAAAGTTGTAAAGTATTTAAACGCAGAACTAAAACAATTAAGTTTTGGATATTAAGCTTATAAAATGTTCTTTTTTTTAATAAATTTTTATTTGATATTAAGAGTGAAATCTCAATTTAAAAATAACGTACATGGGAGGTTGTTCAGGTTCCACAAGTTTTGTTATGGTAGGTTTCTTTTCTGATTTCTTTTTGATAACCTTTTCCTTTTTTTCTGCATCCAAACATTCAGATTTTCGTCGTTTTGGTAAGTTCTTCTGAAGTTCCAATTTCCTTTCCGGTTCTGGAAGAGTTTCTAAGTATGAGGCATAATCTATTTTGTACTTTTCGTTTAACTACAAAATGAAAGGAAAAAATAAATTTAGTATTTTAGATGTATGTATTGTGAAAGCTACTACCGTTGCCGAAAGATCCTTATACTGCTTCTTTTGGTGCTCAGGACAATTTTTCCACCGATTTGAAACAAAATTGAGTCGATCTCTAATGGGGACACTTTTTATCTCCTCACTTTGCAATAATATTCTAGCATATAAGTTATATGCTGATCCTGGTGGTTTACTTGGTTTTCCAGCTACTCGATCTTTTATTTGGATTTCCTCTTTGGTCAGTATTGGCTTATGAGTATTTTGTATGCTATCAGGATGACTTTGACGGTACTTTGTAAGTGCTTCCTATAACATATATATTTTTTTACTTTTAACGAAAAGTGTAAAAATACATATCGACGCTTTAGTACGAAAACATGCTATCTCAGATTACGGTTGGGAAACATGCTATCTCAAATTTCGGTTGAAAAACATGCTATCTCAGATTAAGCTTGGAAAACATGCTAACTCAGATCTTTAAATAAAAACTTGCTATCTCAGTTTGACTAGAAATTTAAGTGGCACATTAAATGATTGAAACCATGCATTTATAATAAACTTTATATATGAAATATATTTTTCAAAAAGTAAGGAATATTTATGTTCAGGTACTGTTTATTTTATTCAACATTTTTCAATTAATTTTGTTAAGTTACAGTTATAAACGACAAAATTGTTAATGAAAAAAAAAATAGAATAATATGGAGTATGCTGCAACACGTACATTACTCGACGTTATTTGAAATAACAAATTATAAAAAAATACCTTAATATATAAAAATGTTTGGTATTACTAAAAATTATTCGATTTTTTTCATACATGCAAAATACATCGAGTAATGTATGTGTTGCAGCATACTGCATATATTATTCAAATAATTAACAATTTTGTCGTTTATAACAGTAACTTAACAAAATTAATTGAAAAATGTTGAATAAAAAAATTAAATAAACAGTGTACCTGAACATAAATATTCCTTACTTTTTGAAAAATATGTATAAGTTTATTATAAATGCACGGCTTCAATCATTCAATGTGCCAACTTAAATTTCTAGTCAAACTGAGATAGCATGTTTTTACTTAAAGCTCTGAGTTGGCATGTTTTCCAAGCTTAATTTAAGATAGCATGTTTTCCAACCGAAATTTGAGATAGCATGTTTTCCAACCGAAATCTGAGATAGCATGTTTTCGTACTAAAGCGTCGATATGTAAAAAAAAAATTAAATAGAATATGAAATAATAAAATTATAAGTTCAGTATTACATAAATTACCTCATATTTAGCATATTCAATTTCAGCGTTATTAATCCAGACAACCTTTTTTTCATCAGGTAGTTGTTTCCAACGTTCTTTACATAATTCTTTAAAAGCTAATCTATCGTCAACTTCTTTCTGATTCTCCAACTCTGACAAATAATAATAGTGGAATGGAGGAGGAGGCCTTTTAGGTATTCTTTCTTTTGGAATTTTTTGAGGCTTTTCTTTAACTGGTTTAGGCAATTTCGGAGATTTTGGTTTCCTTGCCGGTCTTATTTTTTGCACTTTGACAATCCGGGGAACATCTGGATGTGACTGACTAAAAAAATGTAATGTTATTTATAGATGCAAAAAAATAAAAAGTATACTCACTAGAATTCTTCTAATTTTTTCTCGTATTCCTTTTTTTTCTTGGCAGCTAAATTTTCGTATTTTAATCTTTTTTCTGGAGGTAGGTTTTTAAATTCTTGTCCTAACATTTTTGATATTTCTGTCTGAAACATTTTTATCAACAATATTAATTGAGAATCTGCATAAAATAGCAATCAACAATACCAACAAAAAAACTAAGATATGCGACCAATATTTCAAAACATAAGGAATATGGCGACGTGCATTAGAAATGGTATCAAGAAGCCGAAATATTAACTGTTCATACTAAGTTATAATATCTGTTTTTATAATCAAGTATTAGAACAGATACTCATAGCATATTCTTCTATATTTATATTAAAATAATTTAGGAAACTAATTTCCCCTCTTCCCAAAAAAATAATTTTGCAAGAAAATTAATACATGAAACATGGAACCAAAACTATAACAACGTTTCGATAGGATTCTTACAGAGTTTATAAAGAGTATTAAACATGGAAAAATTTACATTGGTATAACATTTAGTTTTTAATCTTAAAATCAGGATTTGCACTCACATCAATCAAACATTACACAGCCCCACAAAAAAAAAAGTATCGGATCCGGTATTCAGACCCATGTATTTCCATGTATTTTTTTCTGCTGAATCCGAATCTGCCTTCAGATTTGGCCCAACGGGTCTGAGTTTTCGGGAAAATTTAAAAAAGGTCAAAATTCACAAAAAACGTTATTTACGATCGACAAAAGTTATAAAAAATCAAATTATTCTACCAGCTCACTAGACGTAAGATTTTTCACTCGTTTAATTCCAATTTATCATCATAGAGTCAGACAAGCTGGTCCAATTTCATTCAAAAACAGAAAATAGATCAAAATGCGTAAAAACGCCATTTTCATGGCATAATTCGTGTTGCAGTTCGTTCTGGATCCATCTTTTTATCCACCCAGCCATTTATGAATTCATACATCTTTCTATCCAGTCGTTCATGCATGAATACGCATATTTATTCATCCACCTGTACCACCTATAAAACTCACACATCCACCCATCTATCCATCTACTTTTTGTGCTGAGAGAGGAGATAACAGCCTAGAAGATTGAGAATGCAATAAAACTTGTAGAATACTCTACTTTCTAAACAAAAGAAGACGATATCTATAAATCATTCTTATTTTTGTTGCTATAATGTGTTCTCTTTTCTTCAAAGGATCTATGCAAAGGGTCGCTTTCGTTTAGTCCCTTTATTTTTCGTTTCTCTTTTTAACAAACAACAAAAATCGGCCATCATGTTGTGATCCCATCTTCATTGATATCGCTGTTCTGTAACCTTCATATCCTGATGAGATCGTTCGCCTTGTTCTTCGCTATAATCTCTAAGATTTTCAGGAAACCAATCCAGATGTGAATGAAGGAAGTGCAACTTGTTTCCTAAAAAATTTGTCGCTACAACTTTGAAACTTGTCCAAAGCACTCTTCTCAACGCTACTCATTGTAGTGATGAATGTTGCATCCTTGAACAATGTCCGAATCTGAGGTCCCTCGAATACACCTTCTTTCAATTTCGCCTCAGAAATATTCGGAAATTTGTTGGTTGTTAAAAAGAGAAACGAAAAATAGAGGGACTAAACGAAAGCGTAACCCTTTGCATAGATCCTTTGAAGAAAAGAGAACACGTTATAGCAACAAAAGTAAGAATGATTAGTAGATATCGTTTTCTTTTGTTTAGAAAGTAGAGTATTCTACAAGTTTTATTGCATTCTCAATCTTCTAGGCTGTTATCTCCTCTCTCAGCACAAAAAGTAGATGGATAGATGGGTGGATGGGTGGGTTTTATAGGTGGTACAGGTGGATGAATAAATATGCGTATTCATGCATGAGCGACTGGATAGAAAGATGTATGAATTCATAAATGGGTGGGTGGATAAAAAGATGGATCCAGAACTCTGCAACACAAATTATGCCATGAAAGTGGCGTTTTTAAGCATTTTGATTTATTTTCTGCTTTTGAATGAAATTAGACCAGCTTGTCTGACTCTATGATGATAAATTGGAATTAAACGAGTGAAAGATCATACGTCTAGTGAGCTGGTAGAATAATTTGATTTTTTATAACTTTCGTCGATCGTAAATTACGTTTTTTGTGAATTTTGACCTGTTTTTTGAATTTTCCCGAAAACTCAGACCCGTTGGCCCAAATCTGAAGGCAGATTCGGATTCAGCGGAAAAAAATACATGAAAATATACGGGTCTGAATACCAGATCCGATACTTTTTTTTTTGTGGGGCTGTGTTATTAAACACGGGTAAAGTATTAACTATTATTTTTGTTGTAAAAAATTATTGAATACAGGCATTACCACATTAAAAAAATGTATACAATGTGTAATCTTTAAATAATGATGATGGAGTCAAAGCTTGTATAAAAAAAAAATATATCTGAATAGAAACTTTACACCCTTTATTTTAGGCCTTGTGAATCCTTATTCACAGGTGCACAGATGTATAGTGTGAATATAAAAATGAGTCATATGCTAATGTAACAAAAAAATGAAAAAAACAGAATGGAAAATTCTGATTTTTCTTGTATCATTAAATTCTAGAACTATGACGTCACTGTAAATAGTAAACTGACAAACGACAACTTCAACCTCAACTATTGTGGAAATATGTTCAAGATTTTAGTGGAATTTAGTGATTTATTCACAAAGTAGATTTGATAGTGCAATTAACTCAAATCCTGTAAAAGAGGGAGTTCTGAAGCTTGCTAATTAAATGCAATATTATACTCCTCTCCACATACTCCATACTGTATTTAAAAAAATAAATCTTAGTCATGATCAAAATTTTAAAATAAACTATTTATGATTACACTTCTAAAGGAATATTAAGAAAATTTATGAGGAGCACTGTGTTGAAAACAGTTAATACATATTCTTTTTACTTTTGATTAATGGTGAATGATCCAGGGAGAGTAGGCACAAAGAGCTAGCCAATATTACAGTTTTTTGAGATTCATACAATCATTAATTAAAATTAAAACAGACATACCGCATCTAAACCTGCATGAGTTTTATTAAGGGAATCCTTTTTCTGCATATAATATATGAAATAAGCAGTGAGAGGTTTTCTGGGCATATCTGGGTGTCTAGAGGTTTTCTTCTTTTTACTTTTAGGTGCACTTATCCATTCTTTTGCATCTGCTAAAACTTCTTTCAATAAACGAAACCTACGTATTTTTTTCTGCAGTAAGAACCACGTTTTCTTACAATCTTCAACTGAGTATTCTTTAAAGGCGATCTAAAAATTGTTATAAACAAACCCACATTACTATATATCATGTCAGCTAATTATAATGCTTACAGTATCCCATTCCAATTTTTCTACTCTTGTTCCAAAAGCTAGTGTATCATGTTCTGGAATACAAGTTTCCATTCTTTCAACTAACATCTTTAGATCTTCTTCAGGCCAATTAATAACTTCCTTAGTTTTCGGTACTTTAACATTAAATTTAACGTGTTGAATTAAAGTGTAATAAGAGACTTAATTACTTACTCTCTGAATTTTCCGCTTTGTTTACTAATTCTGGAAATAATTCAGTTTCATTTAAATCAGACTGGTTATCTTCTAAATCTTCCATTCTACCATTTGCGATATACTGTTCATTTTGAACATTTTCATTTTCAAAGTTATTAATATTCAACTGAACATTCATTTCATCACAATTTTTGGAGCCAACTTCTACCTTCGAAGATAAAATGTCCTGTTTTTGAACTAAAGTGTTTACATGATCCACAGAAATTTTATCCTTACCAGATTTTTTTTTCTTACCCATTTTCTGTACAAATGGCTCCAATATATCTGAACTGTTTTTATTCATGTTTTCTTCATTATTTAGAGGTACCTTGTTTTTCTTTTTACTTTTCTTTAATTCCTTATGAAAATTAAAGTTATCGGAAGGTTCAGAAGGCAGATCTACACCCTCTGCAATATTTGAATTTGTGAATATTTTCCCCCTTTTCTTCATTTCCTTGGATGGAGAAACATCGCTATCTGATAATTTTCTTTTATTTCCAACTTCTAATTTTCTGTTATTAGAAGATATAGTCGCTTTTTCTCTGTTTTTAATATTTACGTTATTATAAGAATCACCATCTGTAGTACCTGCATTCTTTGATTTTTTATAGTTATTATTCATTGTAGTGTCTATAACATTCTTTCTACTCCTTTTGGTACTCATCGTACATATATATATTAAAAGTGGACACAGATTAACTATGAGGTTTTATAGAAATGAATCAGATTCCTTTCAAATATTAAGTGTTCCTTTTTAAAAACAGTAAACAATAACAAATTTATCTATTAACAGTACCTACAAGAACAGCTGCATGAATTTCTTCCTGTAAATATATAAACTAGCATTCATTATATGAATATATATTTACTTATATTTCTATACATTCTGCATACACAATTACAACTAATTCACGAAAACAGCCATTTGCCATTTGCATTTGCCAAACTGTCATAGAAGTTAGCTACAGCAATTACAGCATAGCTACCATCACAAAATATATAATAGACTACCATGCTGTCAACGAATTAGAAGATTTCTGTTCAAGTTGGTTTCATCCTTGCCCTCCAAGAGTCTTATGCTCTTTTCAATTAGAGTATGACTAGGTAAAGCCAGATTTAAATAAATTGACCTGAATTAAAATATATTTTGTGGTATTGACTCACTATTAGATATTTACCATTATTAAAAACGTAAAAGACACCGATAAATAAGAATGAATAAAATCGCAAATGTTGCTAGAATTAGAGATATCTATTCCTTGGGATAACGTCACTGTACCTCACCATCAACACGTTACATTAAAAAAATATTATGTTAATTGTGAATGAATCATTTCAAGTGAATTGAAACTTGAAATGTTATCGTTAGCTGCCTTCCGATTGCCAGGGAACTACTCCTGAAGTGTTCTTCGATCTACTCGTCTACTCTTTAAATACGTACTCCAAATTTAAACAACTGGAACACCTCCAATAGAAACACGTAAGTATTTAAGCAATTTTTAAGTGTTTATTTTATAATATTGTTAGCCAAAAACGAGAGAGTAATATAGATTTCACTTATTAAAGAAGAGTGGCACAAAATAATAACCATATAAACATATTGAAAAATCCTTATTACTTCACATAGTTTAGAAACAATTTAAGAGTATAAAGCTCATCAGTACAAGGAGATACGGGAAGGGGCAGGGGGAAACAAACAGCAACACTTTGAGAGTAAAATGTTCCATCTTATTGGAACGCAAAAAGCAAATCTGAAAAGTTCCTGAAGTGCTTCTGAACTACATTTTGTGTCAATTGGAAAGCAGCTACTGACATGTTGAAAAATGTTTGTTCCATGTTTTTAAGATCGAGTTGCTCATTTTTGAGTATTTCAATTTGGGTTATTCTGCGTTCAGGTGCTTTATCAGGTTGTTTTCTAATGTAGTTTATTTCAGCGTAAAACATTTTTGTTTTGTTTACACCGAACTACACATACACAAAATCATAAAAACAATATGAAAAAGAAAGAATCTACAACCTGTTTTTGAAACTCGTATAAACAATACAAAAATGCTGTGCTCCAAAAGTAGTAGTAGTTTAAAATATTCAACTTTATCCCGCCATAGAATTCCACGACGCAGAAACAAAACGCAAAAAGTTTTGTTGGAAACCCGCCTTTATAGTTACAGATAGCATAGTATAGAAAACAGTAAATTAACTCCTCCACTTTTGTGGACCACAACCTCACTGCTCTAAAAGTTCAGTAAAGGGACGCGTGATCTATGCGCAATAGCAAGCCCAGCCCCTAGTCCACCAACAAGCCCGCGTCGTTATTTTTGGCGTTAAACGTGGCCTCGATAATTTGGGACCGAGGACCTTTGTCCTGCCTTTTAGCTTTCAACTTTTGAGGTTCCCCTACTTGCGCGTGGTCTCCGCGCAGTCACTTAAAGCGACATAAAAAATGAAACTAGGGTTTAGGGTCTATTTTTTATAAATAGGTTAGATAGGCAGTGACTGTTTTCTATAGATTGTTAGAGGAGCAAGTTTTTTATTTCTCAAATAAAATTGAAGTAAACCCTGCTGCTTAGCGCAGGCAATATAATTTTTCAAGAGCCGATAATTTAAAATCCAACTTTAAATTATAATTTTAATGAATATTTAAGTACCATATACATGACCACATAATATGACCTGACCTAAACTAACTTGACTTAATTAATTAAAATTAATAGCTGTTTCCAAAATGAAAATTTTATTCTTACACTCATAATAAAGGCGGAGCTTAAGTCTTATTGGCGCATGACGTCAGCAACAAGATGTAGCCTTGTGTTTTGACACGCATAGTAGATGTATAATTTAATTTGATTGTGATACATAAGACGGAAAACTTGTATTTTCCATACTTACGAATGATATGATATGTTTAAAAAGTCAGTTTATTTACGTATATACAGTCTAAACGTGAACATAACCAATATTGTATTAAATTTGGGAATGCGCAGAATTTTGCAGAATAAAATTGATGATGTGAAGACTTCTAGGCTGCGACAGTTCTGGAAATGTGCTAATTATTAGAAAAACCAGAGAACGTTCTTACATTGCCTTGAAAAAATATAAACATTGGTTACGTCAGTCTCGTTAGCGACGTCATCATATGCGCGCGGGCACATCATATTGCATACATATTATACAGGGTCGGAAAGTCCCCATGGTTCATCGGCCATTACGTGAGAGTGATAAAGAAAGTCGTAGAAAACCGTGCGATAGTCACCGCCCATTTCGCCCTTCCACAAATAAGAAGTGGATCTTATTTGTGGAAGGGCGAAATGGGCGGTGAGTATTAGACGCCTTCATTATAGCCATCTTTCTTTATCGCTTTCACGTAACGGCCGATGAACCATGGGGACTTTCCGACCCTGTATTCACATTTCACACTGCGAGTTCCATAAGAGGCGAATCCATCCCATCCACAGTATATTGATTATTATACTGTGATCCCATCTAGATAAAAAAACGTACGTCGTATGAAGATGTAGATATCTATAATTCTCTAGTATGCATATATCGCAGTTTCTCATGTCCATACAAAATGGATCCATGATAGTATAAGTCACATTCTTATAAAATGGACAATGGATACATTGGTACATTAACATTATCCACGTAGATTAGTAATAGGTATGGGGTATCCATCATTCATACACTACTAATGCAAAATTACCACGAATTATTTTTGTGTAGATACTGGTACCTACATGTTCTACCTAATTCGTCCTATTTTCAACTACTCATTTTTTTTGTCCTAAATAGTTTTTTTACTTTCCTAATTATTGGTCTTCTTTACCCGAAAAACTTACTGAACTGTTTATTCTTCTCCGACATTATTTAAATCACTGTTATGCTAATGTCCCTTGATACTTGCTGATTGAACAAAATGAGCTATTGGTGCTCACATTCTAACATATACATATAACGTATAACAGTCTCAAGTCTCAGTATCATTATAGCTAATATTGTTATTTCTCAATGTCAAGAATTTCTAAATATACTCACATATGGTACTTTAGCCCGCATCACTTGTATAACTTCCTTAGTTTTTGTTCATTTCATTTTTTTTGTTATAGATCTTACTTTGTTAATAAAAGTTGTTCAAAATTGCCAACCCTAAAGGCATATATTCAAAATTTGTTTGAAAAATAAATGTCAAATGATCATTGATAATTAGTTGTTAATAAAAATGTTTTAATGAAGCAGTAGACAAGTCACACCATACTTTTCAAAACATTAAGCTTTTTGCTAAAATGTAAGCTATGTAATGTAAACGAACACTGGAAGTTGCTTTGTAAATTACTGTACAGGCTGGTCCATTTTCGGTGGGATTTCAGGGTATCTCAGAAACTACTAAAGATATGATAAATCTGACACCACGTTTTCGAGCTCGATTTTCATGGCAAACTCNCAGGTTGTTTTCTAATGTAGTTTATTTCAGCGTAAAACATTTTTGTTTTGTTTACACCGAACTACACATACACAAAATCATAAAAACAATATGAAAAAGAAAGAATCTACAACCTGTTTTTGAAACTCGTATAAACAATACAAAAATGCTGTGCTCCAAAAGTAGTAGTAGTTTAAAATATTCAACTTTATCCCGCCATAGAATTCCACGACGCAGAAACAAAACGCAAAAAGTTTTGTTGGAAACCCGCCTTTATAGTTACAGATAGCACAGTATAGAAAACAGTAAATTAACTCCTCCACTTTTGTGGACCACAACCTCACTGCTCTAAAAGTTCAGTAAAGGGACGCGTGATCTATGCGCAATAGCAAGCCCAGCCCCTAGTCCACCAACAAGCCCGCGTCGTTATTTTTGGCGTTAAACGTGGCCTCGATAATTTGGGACCGAGGACCTTTGTCCTGCCTTTTAGCTTTCAACTTTTGAGGTTCCCCTACTTGCGCGTGGTCTCCGCGCAGTCACTTAAAGCGACATAAAAAATGAAACTAGGGTTTAGGGTCTATTTTTTATAAATAGGTTAGATAGGCAGTGACTGTTTTCTATAGATTGTTAGAGGAGCAAGTTTTTTATTTCTCAAATAAAATTGAAGTAAACCCTGCTGCTTAGCGCAGGCAATATAATTTTTCAAGAGCCGATAATTTAAAATCCAACTTTAAATTATAATTTTAATGAATATTTAAGTACCATATACATGACCATATAATATGACCTGACCTAAACTAACTTGACTTAATTAATTAAAATTAATAGCTGTTTCCAAAATGAAAATTTTATTCTTACACTCATAATAAAGGCGGAGCTTAAGTCTTATTGGCGCATGACGTCAGCAACAAGATGTAGCCTTGTGTTTTGACACGCATAGTAGATGTATAATTTAATTTGATTGTGATACATAAGACGGAAAACTTGTATTTTCCATACTTACGAATGATATGATATGTTTAAAAAGTCAGTTTATTTACGTATATACAGTCTAAATGTGAACATAACCAATATTGTATTAAATTTGGGAATGCGCAGAATTTTGCAAAATAAAATCAAAAGTGTCACAATAACGAGAAACGCCCTGTAACTCAGAAACAAATGAATATAGCAAAAATCCTATTTGACAATCGAGTTTGCCATGAAAATCGAGCTCGAGAACGTGGTGTCCGATTTATCATATCTTTAGTAATTTCTAAGATACCCTGAAATCCCATCGAAAATGGACCAGCCTGTACATGTCACGGCCCTTATACAATTCTAAAAATGTCGTAATGCTACAACAGTGTATTTCAGTGATTAGAAAGACAACACTTAATTTTTAGTCTTATTTATTTACAACTGGATTGTACAACATTATTCTAATTTTAATCTAATAATATACATTTCAATCTTGAATACCTACAGTCAGTTTCTTAAAAAAAGTTATTATAATAAGAAGTTTGTATCGTTGATATATTTATATACCATTAAAGATTTTCGTTTAAAGTTCACAAGTGGCCTTATCGGTTTACAAAATAAAATTGATTATCTAGGATATAAATATCGCAGTAAGTGGTATAATAATATACAAGGCATTATGACAATATTTTGCATCGCTTACTATTATACTATATCTATTTCATCTAAATGAAGTTCATTTATGAATATAAAATTCCAAATTTAAAGTAAATTGTATCCCTATCCAATCAACAGCCAGGAATTCTCATTAAAAAAAAAAATTAGACACTAAGAATACTAATCCTTTGTTTGGTTCCAGTTATCTTTTTGTCTATATTGCCATAAAAAAAAACAATATGTATTGAGATGTATTGTTTTATTAATGACACTTCAACAGAAGTCCTATTCCAGAGCTTTATAAGTTTTCGAGACGTGTGCGTTTTTCTTGTGTGATGCAGCATGTACATCAGATGCACAATTGAGTATGACATGAAAACCGCACATACCTTTACATATTGTAATACACTATTCGCCAGATCAAATAAATCTCATCTAATCCGCAATGAGTTGCATATAAAACTCTAAAACAGTCCTAAAAATCATGAATCTCAAGGAATGTCTAGTTTATTCTATCATATATTAACTAATTTGGGAATGGCATTTACTTTTCAAACATTGTAAAAATTAAACTTTGTTGATTTAATATCAGCTGTCATGAAAATGTGTTACTACGGTCTAATAAAAATTAACGCGGTTTAAAAAAACCTACAATCTTTGTCGTATTATTTGTTTTTTTTTTTTTTTTGGGAAAAGTGTTTCTAAAGTTATGCTCAATTTTATTTTATATCCCCTAATACTAAACAATTTGCTTTCCGAGATAAATATTTTCAGATATCTACATAAAATTAAATTTAATGATATAAAAATAGTTTAGTTTAGGATATATCAAATGAAATCAATTAGAGACGAAAAAAGTAATTTATCAAAGCTGCACGATACTTAGCATGTGTAAAATATTACACAGATTAGTTATAGCATAGTATTATTTACTAGTTCCTATTACCAATTATTATTATTATTATTATACTCTAGTTATTACTATATATTAAATAGGTACATTTAAGTATTATTTGAGCATATAGTACCCCAAAAAATGTTACTTATTAACAATGAAATGAAAGTTAATAATGTGGGAAAATTGTACTATATACTCAAAATAAAAATGGACGTAAAACATTTAATTCTCTTTAGTACATCTATTTATATATGTGTATATATATATTTGTATATACACTGAAATATAGAAGTTGAATGATTTTAATTTAAAAAGTATAATAATACACAATTATTTACTTACACTGTTGGCAGTTTTTGGCAATAGTAGACCCAATATTATTTTTCTCTATTCCTTTATAAAAAATTATTTTACTGAAACCCTAATCATGACAAAACAATTACGTATTATACATAGATATTAACAAAAAGAAAGTATCCTCTACTGCAATATGTGCGTTTTTTGTTATGACGTTTTGTAAATGTTTTTATTTAACATATAAGCTTCACTACAAGCGGATGATTCAGTCCCTAATGTCTGCCTGAGCTTTATGGATGAGCGATTTGCAGACTCTCGAGATTACCGTCCATTTTTTCATAACAACTATTTTCAGGCAAAGAATTCTTTGTTTGTTCCTCTACTATACGAATTCGAGTTAGGAGATTGTTTTGGTTCTCCTAAAGCATACGACCCTTCATCTTTTTTACGCATTCTGTAAACTATGAACATCACTACTAATATAGCACACAGAAGACCAACAACTGCTCCACCGATAACAGCTGAAAAAGAAAATAATTTAAGAATTACATTGATTATCAATTCACAGTGTAAAAAATACATTAAAAATACATTAAAAAAAATTTTATTAAAAGTTGTGATCATTACCTGCTATCATGCCGGGCTGGGCAAAAAATGAAGCGGGGCGATCTTCATGCTTTTTATTCATTTTGACTGTGGAATCTTCAGTGGGAACCGGAGGGGGATTGTTTTCTACAGGTCCTTTTTCAGTTTCAGTTTCCGTTTGTCCAGGTGATACTGGATTATTCACTGGTGGTACATCTGCAATTAATTGCGAATTATATTTTGTAAACAATTTGTTGTGTTTTGCACATATCGAATAAACCACTGAACATTATGGAACAGTGACAGTTAATGAAAATTAAAGTTATCATATTTTGATGGTGAAGCGCAAAGCCTATACTATTTTTTTATTTTTATTTTATTTATTTTTTAAAAATGATTTCTTCGCCTACACGGAGAATCTTCATGATGAAATACTTCCAAACAAAATTTGCCGAATACAAAAATTGAATAAAGAAAGAGAAGCCTCCTTTCAGGTATCGAAAAGGGTTGCACATATATATATATATACACAATATATTTTTTTTCATGATCAACCAATACACCAGTAAGCCCTAATCACCATTCAGTGCAGGAATGAGGAAAACCTGGAAATCCTCATTAATTAAGGGGTTGGTTAAACGCCGACCGGCCTCAATCTCTCACACTGACCCAAGTCAATGTTTTTCCACACTACCATACCCCCAGAGAGGGTGCCTAATTCCTTTCCACGAATATAGCTGATCTACGGTCTTACAGACGTGGGGATCGAACTCGCAACAGAGGCATTCATCGATTTATATATTGACGCCTCGAACTGCTTGACCACCGACTGACCCAAACAGATATAAATCACAAATATTTCATTTTTCATACAGTTATAGCGTTATGAAATTTAAGAAATGGGAAGTTAGTATCAAATGATAATTTAAATAAAACTTTCATAGAAAATTGAATTTCTTGAAAAAAAAAATTGCTGATGGAAAAAAAATTGAATATATGTGCAACTCTTTTCGAATCTTAAGGGAGGCTACCCCAATTTTAATTTTTTATTTTGCAAATTTAGTTAGAGCATAAAAATTTCCTAAAAATCGGTACGCCTCAATATCACAATATGGCCATTTTAATTTTCACCAGTCACCACTATTACTGAATGTAATCAATATATGTGCCAAACAAAAAAATTTAACAAGAAATATGAACTCAGTATAAATGATATGACATGCTGAATATTCTCTAAAAAAAATTTTAATAACATGTATTTTCTGTTTTTCATATTTATAATCTAGATCCTCCAATCAATCTCTATACAGATTAATATATAATTACATATATACATAATATAAAAACAAAAAATAAAAAGTCGTTATCATTGAGAAACAGACTTGGTGAATACAACATACATCTATGGCAAAGAACTATTTCTTTTCCATAGATTCTGTAATATGTATTTTTCTATAATTCTATAATTAATTAATATAATCTTATATGAAACTAGGGAGCCCCAACCATATTAAAAAGAAAATGTGCAAATACCGAAAAACAAACTTTTATCATAGCAGTGATAACCTAAATTGATGACCTCTAGGTGTAGAGAAAACAAAACCAAAATTATATCATAATTTATATTATGATACTGAGTCTACATTAGACAAAATATTTATAATAGTAGTTTTACAGTCAAAGAAGTTGATAATTTTTTTTTCACCTTGAATTAATTTATTATGCGTAAAATTGTTGTCAATTTATTAAAAATAAATTCATGTAGAAATTGTGAGAATACAATTTTTTTACAATTTATTAGTGATTTTTGGTTTCATTTTGATTTAAAGATATAGTGCCAAGAGTGCTTCTGATAAAAATTATTAAATATTATTTAATTTTATTTTCCTTATGACTAAATTCAAGTAGCCTTTTTATTGGTGAAACAGAAAAATAATGTCACATTTTCCAGACCTACTTCACTTTGCAGATATAAAAAATTATATCATTATCTAACTAAACAAGCTGGTTTTCAAAAATGACAAATTTCTTATGATTTTTTTTGTTACTCACACATACCATAAATCAATCTGAGATCCGTGAGACCACCCTGTATATGTATACAAAAGCAGTGTATTTTATTTACCTGATATCTAGGTTAATCTCACCTAATTGACCAACCAGCATCCAGAATAACTGAGATTGGATGAGATTTCAAGTATATAAAACATGGGTAACGTTCACTACAGGTAAATGGATTAATCAACAGCGATGATGTATGAAATGGAGAAGTTTTGAGAAATTTGAAGGTCTCTGATGCTGTTTATAAATTTGTTATAACTATTTATATGAATTCAATAAATTTTTGTTTTTAATTATCTAAATACTTAATTTAAGTTTCATTAGTTTAGATTAACACTTTCAGAAGTATGACATTTTTCAAAATTTTTTACACTCAGTATATCGAAAATAGCATTACACACAAGGAACAACATCTTAAAATCTGACACACCCGTTTATACAAGATATTCCAAAATAAGTTGGCACTACTGCGAACTTTATCGATGAATTTAGATACAAAGCCACTTAAATTTGCAAAGGTGTAGTAAATTTTCTACTGATTAATGTAATTTTTCTACTGATTAATGTAGATTTAACGAAAAAATAATTTACAATCATTTTTAAGATATGTTTGTTTAAATGATATTCTAATGGAACACATTGTATGTACGTAACATTTGATGGGTCCACAAGTATAACGGTATGGGAGTGTAAAGTATTACAAAGAGACATGATAGTCTTAAGTCTTAGTAATCAACAAATTTCCGTCAAAATTTCTTTGTGGCATGTTACACTTAATGGCATGTATCTCCTTAACCATTACAGATAGATTCATTAAACCTTACATCCCGAAAAGAAATTCTATCTAAATATGATATAATTTAGATAAAAATGCCATTTTGACAAATTTATCGTAAACAAGCTTTAGATTTTTTTTACTTGACAAAATTAGCAATAGTGTTGACGTCTTTTGAAACACCCTGTACATAAACTTACGGATGCCTACCGTTGGGGTCGGAACGGAAGAGATAAAATGAGATATAAAAAAGTTGCACAACGATAAGCACTCCTGAATGATGCCTTTCTTGTTACTTTCACAGATTACTAGATAAAGGCATGAAAACATTGATTTTTGCCTTTTTTTGACTAACTTTGTGATTATTAATTATAAATAATAGAAAATCAATAATTTCCTCTATTTTTTTTATATTTACCAATTTTTAACACCTTAAATTGTTGAAGAAATACGTAAAGAATTTGTTACAATTCGCATTTTTTGTGGAATTGTACATGTTACAATGAAACTGGCTAATTTAGGTTTTTTAGACTACATATCATAGACTTATTATAACTCACCCCAAACTAACCCAACTGCAATAAATATCCCTTATATATATATACTATTATTTAAACATTTTATAATAAAAAGTCAAAAAATTGTAGAATGTAATTAAAATTTGTACTTTTCAATGATTGTTTATGGGTAACTAAAATCACTGAAACTGACCGGTTTTACTGTCTCCAGTTCCTTGGCAGGTTTAACGAAGTTACATTTGTTACACTTTTTATATTACAAGTATTTCATGTCAATATACATATATGCCAATTTCTTAAACAATTTATCAGGTGATAAACTGATAAATTGAAAGAGCAAAACAGAATTTGGCATTTTTTTTTCATGTGATCGCTATTTTAAGTTTTCGCATATGCTTAAAAAAATGTAGGTATATTTGTAATTTTAGTCAAATTTGAACAAAAACACAATTTTTTGCACAGTCGACCATGGTAAGATAAAAAATGCATAATGTAGTTGTTACTATAGAACATGTCAAACTAATATTGTAGCCACTAAAGAGTGAAATATTAATTAATTAATTCAAAAGAACTAATTTTAGTTAAATGTATTTTTTCATCATATTTAAATATTTAAATAATAGGTTACATATAAGTTTTCATTATTGAAATTTTGTTATACTTAATGATTTGTAGTTTGCTATTTAATTCTTATTCAAAAGTTGATCGTAACATGCAACAATAAGAGAACTGTAACAATTTCTTTAGGATAATTTATTGGGTAGAAAATTAGTAAATGTAAAACTGATTTAATAAAATGGAGACAAATGCAAATGAAAATACAAATGGAGAAATACTTGGTTAGTATTCATTTATTTGGAAAGTTATTCATTTTAGAACTATATTATATAACTGTATTTTGTCATGGTATATCCAAGGCCAACTAGGTATGCAAAATTATGCTTTTGTTAAAATTTGGGTAGAAAATTATAAATGTAAATATAAAATGACATGCAGAGTTTAAAAAAGGACATGTATGTATATCTGAAATTATGAAAATTCAAAATGACGGCCCTATGGAAAAAAATTACTGATTTGGAAGTTGATTTGAAAAGTCAATAGAGGGATTTTTGGAATCTATCATCTGAGATTCCTGGAAGCTTTGTCGGAACAAATAGTCCAAGCAATTGACGTAAAATCTAAATTCAACATATTAAAACCATTTTTCAAACACTTTTTAAAGGCTATAGTTTTTAAATGACATATGTTCTTTTTGAGTATTAAATACGTACTAACAAATAAATTAAATAGCGAGGTTAAATATGAACAGAGAATAGAATTTTTTCGACTTTTCTGTTAAAAAAAAAATTGTTTTTAAAGTCGGGATTGGTCATTTTTATATTTACTACCGTTGTTAGGAGCGATTTATAGACCAAATAAATTTTCAAAATCTGTAACAGTAAAACCAAACACTTTTTGAATAAGTTGTCACTATGAAATAGTCATAAGCTGTGGACAAAATTTCTTGACATCAGTAGATGCAAAATCGTCTTTATACACATCCAACCTTTCTGGGAGATTTGTTATATGCATACGCGTAACAGCGACATTGTGACATAATTTAAATAATATACTCTGTCGCGATAAGCCAAAAAATAAATAAATAAAAGTAACAATTCTTCATGGATGCATTATTTTACGTGTAAAAATCCAAAAACCAAGATAATTTTAAGAGAATGGCAATTAAACGTCACGAAATAACATTTTTTATATGCGTCAAAAAAAATTAATACAAAAGTTCATACGCCACTGTCTTTTGGCTTCCTTTAAATCTAGTATACCTAATTTTTGAAATGTATTGGATAATACAATGATTCGTTCAATGAGTATTATAAGTTTTCGAGGTTAAGAAGTGATTTTTTTGTAAACCCGTATTACAGGATGGTGAATACAATAATATTGCAACATTTTTTTATAAAAATATTGCCACACAAACTGGAAGTTAGTCTAAACTGAATTAAAATATGTCGTCCTGCCCGGAATATACGGGGTGTCTCAATTAAGATGGATTCTTCTATATCACTGGTAAATAATAATAATATAAAAAAATGTCTCAGATAAAAGTTGTGCCAAGTCAGCATGTTCACATTTTAAAATTATTTTCGGTTATATTTCCGTTTGTTCCGGAACTTACCTAATTTTATTTTATCGAATGGAATACAACTTCCTTTCTTTAATTTCTCCTTGAATCTAAAGCGTATGTCGATAAGCTTGGATCTAAGTTGTACCGTTTCGGTGTTATTTGATGTTATTGAAAAAGTTGACTTTTACACAGGTATCATTGAAAATATCAAATGTCTTCGATACTAAACATGCAGTTCAGCATGAGAGAAATGTATCCTTCGCATTACATTAAATGTGAAATAAAAAAATGGTACTTAATTACAGACATTAGAATTTCTGTGTTGGAATCATGGACATTTTTTTTTAATATTAGTTTTAATTTCATTTTCCTTCGATTTTATTTATTTTCTATAATTTGCGATTTTATTGATAAAAACTGGATATCACATAATAGCATTGTTTCCAATTCAAAATAGTAAAAATACATACCTGACCTAGATCTCTTAATCGGTCTGCTACGTTTCCCGATCTAACTAAATCTGACTTTTTCTTATGAGAATATACATACAAAACGTGAAAATTATTCTACACCTACTGAAATGCAAGATATCCAAAATTAAAAAAGAAGATCTTTTTAGTGCTTTTATAATACGTTTTCAGTTTTTTGTTATTAATTATTTCATTATTATTATTAGTATGCGTTTTTTATGTCGTTTATATAATCATATTTTCATAAAAATTATAATTACCTCAGCAGGAAATTTATTTGCATATTTTTGTAAATATTTTTCACATACGTAGGTAGCTTTTACATTAGGCATCACTACTACGTAGCAATCATTTTTTAATACGGAAATAGCAACAGAAAATATGAGAAACCGCAAAATCTTACAGAAACAAACCTTGACATACCTTAACAAAATCGAAAGGAAATTACAATTTGTTTCTATGTGTCAAATTTAACATAAGGTTCCTATAAAATTCCGAGATCCGTAATTAGTATTTGAAATGTAATGCAGATGATACGCTTTTTTATACTCGAACGAATTGTGAAAACCGCGTCTTATTATCGTTTAGTTCTGGAGATATTTGATATTTTCGGAAATTCTACAAATTATTTTTTTCAACGCCAAAATAACGAAAATTGAACGAGAATAATATACAGGGTGTTCCATTTGAAATAATGAAAAAAGTAACAAACAGAAGAAATGAGACATCCTGTAGGACCGAAAATAATTTTAAGATATAGTGAAATTGAGTTGGTATGACTTTTATTTGGGACACTTTTTTGTATTATTGATATTTCCAAAGCTACAGAAAAAATCGTCTTGAGTAAGATACCTGCACTCGGTATTGTACCCATGCCTTGGATAACAGAATTTATTAAGAGTTATTTTTGTCTGTCACTTTTATATTACAAGTGTTTTGGATTTTAATTTAGTGCATATCAATATCCAATGATATACGTGATGACGCAAGTTATACTGTCATTCCTGTAGCTCATTTCGTATTAGCGTTAGAAACATCATATTGAACATGACATGAGTAAAATATATTAATATGTTATGGAATATATATGGATTTCCAAATTTAATTGGGCATTTTATATTTTCTCCATTCCAAATGACATTTTAAACAGTTCCATGATATTTTGTTATTTACCATGTCTATAAAGTTTTCAGCAATTTTTATTTAAATGTGTAAAATAATTTATTTTAGGAGAAATCGTTTTAGTAATCTTTAAGTAGCCATAAAATTTAAAGTTTTTGTCATTTATTAAAAATTTAATTTTTCTGATAAACTTTCAATTACTTTCTGGGCAATCTAGATGGACACGGAAAATTGAACTTTAACCTTGATGAAATAGCTTTTAATCATTTTGACTAAAATAGTATAGAAGTACCTATTTGTAATTTGAGACAGAAATAATAAAAAAAATATGTAGGTATGATGTCTTTTTCAAAAATTGGGCCCACATCACGTTAATAGAAGAAACAAAAAATAGTTTTCTTATATGATCAGTCTACTTGTTGCGTCTTTAACTCATGACCAATATGATATTAAGGTAAATAAGGTGAAATATGATTGATAGAGTAAATAGAAGATAGACTGATAAGAAACTTACAAGAACGAGATTTATCATCATCAGTATCATCCTCATCGTCAGGTCCTAAACCAGATCCACTCGATTCCAAGTCTTGGGTCACCTCTCCATGATATCCACTGCCCTCAATGTCGGCATCTTCATTGTTAAAGTTAAAATCTTTACTACTACGTTGGATCTGCAATTTCAGTTTAAAAGGACTAATTATAACTTGCTGCGTATCAGATTTTCATATTAAGTATAAGTAGTAGTAAATAAAAATATTACATAGTGTTGTTAACCGAATACGTAATAATCGCATTTTTCTTAATTAAACAAATTATTTCCTCAATATATTTGTAATTTATATTATGAATGAACTAAACTGTAAAAATGTATGAAATAAGTTAAAAATAGTTTAAACATTCAAAATAAACAATTTGTTTCAAAATATGCATGTAAACTTTCCCGGTGAATTATATAAATATTCCATTTTTATATAAGTAGGTATATCTTTTATGTTTATCTGGGGCATGAATTACTTACGCAAAAAATTCTTCGTACCGTTGTTTACTTTGCGCATAAAAATGCGAAATTTCTCTTTTTAAATCAATGAACAGCAAAATAAAATTTTTTGTTTTTTTTCGACAGCCTGACACTTTGTCGTTATAAAATCAAATTTATTTGTTGTTTATTACAAAACTACAATATTTTTAAAATTATCGTACTGAATCATGCACACCAGTAACAAATAAAATGACAACTGAAAGTGTACTTATTTTTATTTGATTTACTTACTCAAATGCAAAATTTACTATTTCAAAGTAGGTAGGTAGGTATATATTGATTTATTAATTTTTCATTGTAGGTATCTGTATATTCAAAAACAATTTTTGCCGAATACCACCAAAGAGTAACAACGACGGCAATGGCGGACTATACGAAGAAATCAATAATTTCTGTCTGCGCCGTTTTTCGGCATCCTCTCCAAGATAGAGTAGACAGAACCGTACTAAAATACAAATATGGGCTAATATATTAATTCATTATGTTCATGGAGGCACCTAAGATGTGTGCAAGGTCACGTATTGCATATACATATTTGTGTAAAACTGTCTGTAAGATCAAAATAAAAAAGGAACTGAAATGGTGTACGGCCGACCATAAATATGGGCGGCTATCTACATGTAATAATTATAAAATTGTATAAGGTGTAATTTTACCAATACATACATATAAGGAAACTTAAAGCCGAATTGAATCGTTTTTTTTCTTTTAGAGACTTTTATTCTAAAGCGTCACTTTATTTACTTTTTCATATGGCTAAAATACATAGTTTATGACAAAAATTGAGTTGAATTTTTTTCTGCAATTATTATCAGTTACGGACAGCTGAGTGTTTGCCGCCATTCAAAATTCAACATCTGAAATATAACAGCTCTTATCTACATGTAATAATTATGAAATTGTATATGGTGTAATTTTACCAATACATATAAGGAAACCTAAAGCCGAATTGAATCGTTTTTTTTTTCTTTTAGAGACTTTTATTCTAAAGCGTCACTTTATTTACTTTTTCATATGGCTAAAATACATAGTTTATGACAAAAGTTGAGTTGAATTTTTTTCTGCAATTATCAGTTACGGACAGCTGAGTGTTTGCCGCCATTCAAAATTCAACATCTGAGATATAACAGCTCTGTGAATTTAGCTTATTTCATTTAAAGCGTTACATATAGGTATCTCCGTAGACATTGGTTTTTTGATACGTTGATTCGAATCGTAAAAATTTAATTTAATTACAAATTTATTAAAAAATGTGAAATTGAATTAGTCTAGAACACCATCAAATATCCAGTTGTCCGTAACTGTAGAAAATTGTGGTCCATTTATCTCAGGAACTACGTATTTTAGCGACATGGAACGAGAATTACTTTTTTTACAGTGGATAAAGTACCATTTCAGAAAATCTTTAGCAACAAAACTATTTAGTAAAAATAAACATGACTATTTAAGGTGTTAGCGACCTCTATGGTTTACATAAAAAAAATTATTCATGCTTGGCTACTTGAAAAACATCCCTCAGTCAAGTCAAGTTCCACTTAAATATCTTGTTAAAAATGTGAGTTATCGTCAATAAATTAAAAAAAGAAATTATAACTCACCCTGTATATTCAAAATAACTTTAAGAGTTCAACGAGGCCTTTCTAGCGAAAATAAAAAATCAGTTTTGAACAGAGTACACAAAAACATGTTTACGGCATTTTTGTTTAAATTAATATCCTCTTATCAGACTGAGAAAGATTAATAAAGTTAGAGTACTGATAAATAACAGTTTAAATTTACCGCCGGGGTTGACGTTTGCTATAAACCTGCGTATAAAAAAAGTATCTCTTTTACAAAAATATTTGATTCATAGTTACCAAAGCTACTTCAAACTTAGGAATTTTGTATATATATGTATGTACAATACAGGGTGTCTCAAAATTAGCCTACGATATTTTACAACAGCATCCTACGAATCAAAAAATAAGACTAAAAGTTTATATAACAAAGTGGAGAAACGTCTTCAAATATCTTCAAAACTGTTAGGGATACCGGATAATATAACGAAACTGAGTATTATTTAGTTAAAAAATAATTTTCTAAATTTTTTTCAGGGACGACCTAAATTAGGAGAGCTTGTGGAAAAATATTGTTCTTATTTTTTAACCTATAACTGTTTGTGCCAGAAATTAGACCTCTTAGACACCTTTGTTGCGAAAATGTACTCTTAGTTTCGATAGGTTAGATTTTCAACACACAGGCCTTACTCAATATGCTCTGAAACATTATTTGATTGCTAATAATAATAATGAGATGACAACTTACTGAGATCTTGGAAGAATAATTGCACAAAACAATTTTATTTGTAATGGGAGAATGTGAAAATAAGTTATATAGATATGTTGATCAAACGTCTTTTTGTACTCTTATTTTACTACTTTTCTTTAACTTTATTTTTATAAGGAGTTGTGGAAGTTTTTGAAATATCGTTGATTTTTCTACATATTTTTTTCTTGCTGCTATGATAGCACTAATACAGTAACTTATTTCATTGGTATATATTCAAATTCAATAAATTTTCGCATGAAATTTGTTAAGTAATACTCAACAATCCTATTTTTCATGACCTGCAATCAATTTAAATGGTTTACAATTAAGAACACATATTTTTGTGGAATATAATACAATTTTTAAATCAAATATATGCTCAGATGGTGAAACCTATCGAACGCATCTGATTAAAGTATAGAAATCACATTTTGACCATTAAATTCAAAACCATAAGTAATATCGATTTTCATATATCATTGTTTTATTTTGATTAATTTCGCAGATCATCTAGAAAAAAACCGCCAGTGGCTTACATGGGGACTGCAATCTATTTTTATGATGCCTATGTTCATATAAAATTTGTCTAAAATTTTTATTTTAATAAAATGCCTAATATCGGAACAACCTATATTTTAGGATACTTTCTTCAGTACTATAATTATTTCGTGAATAACTCATTTTTTTTAATTTTAAAATGAATACCTATAGGGAATTTTGATGAATTTGTATTATTTTAATGTGTTCGGTCTTACAAGTATGACCATGTGAATGGGCTAGATGACTGCAACGTGAAACATGAAACGAGTAGGAAATTTTCTCGAACACGGTACATTATTCTTAATTTCTTTTTAAGTTTCATTTTATTAGAATAAAATATCTAAGTAGGTGTGAGGTTTTCAATTAGATCCGATAAAATTGCTATCTCAGAAACCGTCAAAGATAGATAGCAGTTAATTCTGTGGATGATTCATTGGACAGGAAGCGAAAATATCAGTAGTTTGGGAAATTTTATGAAAACGCGAAATTTTCAGATTTCGATTTTATCTCTTCCGGGCTTATTCGAAAAGATGCACTATTAAAGAAACACAAGAACAGTAATGTATTAAAAATAAAGATATTACATTATGTATTCCAGTAAATAAAATCATTTATTGAAATTAACTGTATTAAATAAAAAAATTTAATATTATTGCGGAAGGAGCAGAAATCTGCATTATAAAGTAATACTGATGAAAAATTGACCTGGATCAAAAACCCAAAATTTCGAAAAAATTGAGCGTTGGAAAAGCTGTTTTTCCCCACAACTTTAAAAGTCCGATGATTACTGCATATTGTCGTTTACTGACGTCATTTTCCTCAAGGATTCTGGAATACTATTTTGCATTCGTCGTCTTTTGGAATCTGGCAAAAAATTAAAATATAGTAAAAACGATGTCCCCACAGTCTCCTGATATGAATAGACATAGCACATAGCAACATTTTATTTTAACAGAAATCTTCAGGTCAATTTTCGAGTTGTAGCTAAAAATTGAAAACTTTAGTATCTTCTTTTGATTCCTCTAACGACTACAGTTGAATTATTTTCTAAAGTATTGGGATTTTTGCTGATAGATTTTTTTGCGTATAATCCAGTATATTTAATTTTTGAATAAATGTTATAGTTTTCGACTTACGGATCAAAATTATAGTTTTTTTTTATAAAGACGTTGTATATGTAGGTATAGCTGGCTTTGGAGGAAGAAAAACCAATTCATATTTATATTTCATCTATGAAGTAAATACAAACTTATTCAAAAATTGGTTTTGCTCTTTGCCATCAAATATTGTTTTAATATACTTGTATAAGGTAACTGCACTAGTAACTGCCATTGTAAGGTCCAGAAAAAATTTATCATTTTTTAATTAATCCCATTTTTTGTAACTATGGTCGAATGCACTCTGACACTAATTTACACTATTTTTTAGCGTGTTCCACCGGTTTATACAACATTGTTTCTAATAATTGCCAAGATCAACACTAAAATTAACAAAATATTTATAAAGTTATGCATAACTAATTCACCTGTATCAACTCTACTTGGTATAAGATAATACAAAATAAATAAATAATCTTATTTCCGAGATTAGGTGTAATAATAAAATGGCAATTACTGGTAAAGTGGCAATTATTAGCGCACTTACTGTATATGTTTGAAAACTGCAGAACACCCTCTTTTTAACCAGGCCATGGTTAACTATGATATCCACTTAAAAAATATGTTTGATCTATAAGAGTTATTAAAAAATTAAGTATGCTACTGAATTTTACACGAAAATGTCTGT